AGGGTGATAAGACGGGGCTCCCACTCCAGTGCTTTGGCTTTCAAGGCCCATGCTCTCGCCACTGGCCGTCGCCTGCCCTCGTCCTGCTCTCTCCCAGGCTTGCCTCTGGCCCCGGAAAGCCTGGAACTAAGTCTCAGCTGTTTCTCTGAGGTTCTGTGATTTCTAGGCAGGGGAAGGCACCTCTGGGGAGTGTGGGGTGGCATTTGGTGAAGGAGCCATGAGTTTTGGAAATAGTAAACTTAGCATAGAGCTTTTATTACTTTTTCCATTATTTTATATATATATACATATATATGTGTATATATATATATATTTATATATATACATACATATATATTCCCATATATAAAGTAATTCCCATTACTTTATACACACACACATATATATGTACATACGTGTGTGTGTGTGCGCTTTTTTTTTAAGGAGCTGTTCTTCCTCAATCCCCCCCCCCCCCCAATAGCTCAGAGGACCAACTTGACCACCTTATAGCTTTTTCTGGTTCCTTGAATACGAAGGTGTCACATGTACCCACACAGGGGCTGTTGACCATGGCTGTGGGTGTCTGCCTGTTGGCTGAGCCTCATTGCCCTGTCCAAGCCCTGCCCTGATGTCCATGTGGGGTACAAGGCCGTGTGGCTGCCTTTGAGGAGCCCGCACGGTATCCGCAGATACGGCAGATTATCTGAAGTGGATGCCTTGCATTCAGGGAGCACCTGAATGGGTAGCAGGGCAGGCTGCACCAAGGAGGACATAGAGGCTTTCGATAGGCTGAAGAGGGTGTTCCTGGTAGGGCAAGTCCAGCTTCCACTCTCCGTGGAAAGTGGGCAGTAAGTGGCTACTGGAGCATGAAGCATGGGGGACCATGGGCGACTGGGGGACCCTTCTGTATGCCTGCCACTGTCAGCTGGACCACTACCCTGCAATATTGGTAGAATGTCCCCCAGGTGCTTATGAGGAAAGTAGACTCACGGTACGTCCTGAAGGAGCTGGGATCGGAAGCCAGGTCTGTGCAGCTGTGAAGCCTTCCCCGTAATACCACAAGCCCATCTTTCGAAGATGGCTTCAGGTGAAATGGACCTCACCAGGATGTGACCGGGAGGCACAGGTGGGTCCTGCTGGCTGACGGTGCTGGGATGCTTTTCCTCAGGGACCTCAGACCTGTTGTGCGGTGGGAGTGACCACGTCCGTGTTCAGCAGAGGCTCTTTCACTAACTGTGCGTCCGGGCTTCGGGGTTTTAGCGGAATGGCCCAGTGTGTGCCTCGGGCCCAGCCCTCACAGAGCTGCCCCAGAAGCTGCTAGATGTGACACTACCCAGTGCTGAAATTACAGGAAAAAGAATAAAAAGGATGTGTGGGAATAATGTATCTCTGGTCAGAGATCTTGGGAATGTCTGAGACAGAATGGCAAGTCCATTAACAGGGTCTGGGGCGGCAGAGGGAAGGCCCAGGAAGTGGGCGCACTTCCTGCTTCCTTCTAGACTCATCAGAGAGATTTCCAGCGTTGGGTTCTCCACCTCCACCGCCCCACCTCTCCCGCTCCTGGCTCCAGGGAGGGTGACTACAATGGAAAGGGTTCTGACGTCTGGGCTCTCGTCCCAGCCTCTGGATGGCCTACGTTCTGTGGCCACTCTGTGCCTCAGTTTACTCATCACCTGCTTTTGAGCTTGTGTGTCCCTGTGTCTTCATCCTCCCCAGCTAGTCTGGAAGCTCTCAGAGCCGAGAAGAGCCTCAGGCAACTCGACCTTCCCCCTCCCGCAGCAGGGCTGGACATGGTTTGTGCGTGAGGGAGTGACCAGAGGCTCCCACACGCCCTTCAGCCTCTGGCAGCCGTTCCTCTCTGCTCCTTGCATTCAGCGCTGCTCCCGGGCTTGTGGCACGGTGGACCGGCTGAGATCCTGGGGGCTCCAGAACCACACTTTGAAGCCTGACTCTACCATTTAATAGCCACGCAGCCCTGGGCAAGTGGTTTCACTTTCTAAGCCTCAGCTCCTTGTCTGTGAAATGGAGCAGTGGGGAGCCCTTTCTGTGAGGAGTGGAGGATTACCTGAGCTCACGCAGGTCAGGGCCACGTTTGCCGTGTGAGATGTGCAGCTCCATCATTATGACTCCAGTTGTCCCCATTTTACTGATGAGAGAACACGGGTCCATCCAGTCAATGGCCGAGTCACAATTTGAACCCAGGCCTTCCCACACCCTGATTCTGTATCTAAAATGAATGGGGAGTGGTGTCATGGAGAGAGTCCCCTCTTTTCTCCCCTGGAAGTGAAGGAAAGAAGGACACTGGGTGGCAGGATGTTTCAGGGCTGCCCAAGAAAGAGGTGGCTGCCGGACAGGTGGTTCTCCCTAAGCTTCTGGTAAGGAGCCGCCCCTGCCCCCCTGTGGCACTCTGGGGGTTGTGGTGGGATTTCCTCTCTGGGTGACCAGCTGGTCTGGGCCAGGGTTCCCTTGCCCTCAGTATTCTGAATCCCACCTCCAAGTCAGAGGGGAGACTTCTGAGCTGCTGCTTCCTCCTCAGACTTACCAGCCCACTCTCCACTGCCCCCCACAGGCTGGGCTGGGGCCTCGCGGACCAGTCATGCTCACTACTCATCAGGCCTTTGTCCTGAGGCATCTGCATTGAGGCAAACTTGGGTCCTGTCCACTCAGTCGGGGACCAGAGGCCGACAGGGAGCCTCTGAAGGAGACTCGGAGCCAGCCTCCTGAGCCTCAAAGGGTCCAAGCAACAGCTGAGCCCTCAGGTTCAAGTGTTGACCCTTCCTACGGACTGCCCATCTGTCAGGGCCCCGTGGTGGACGCTTTGTTCGTATTTTTTAGTCGGTCTCGGAGTCAGCCACTGCTGACCTCTCCTGGCTGACGGGGCATCCGGTGTGAGGGGCTGGGCGGGGCCGTGCTGCTCCCTTCGGGGCACATTGAGCACTCCCGTGGGGGCGGGGGAGGCAATCCCTTCTCGCCAGGAGCCGAGGAACCCACAGAAGGCCTCTCTGCCCCTCTTGGCAACTGGACCTCACCCTTGAACCCCCCTCGTCTGTTCTTTTTATTTTTCCTTTTTTAGGGGTTGGCTTCAAATTATCTTATTTTGTTTACATTGCACCCAAGTTTTATGGTACAAAAGACTTGCAGGTGCAAATATGTCCCGCCTTCATTAACTTCCCCTTCCTTTTTAATTTATGTGATTTCAATTTTCCTTCCCTGTACTGTTAATTAGGGGACCCTCTAATCAGTGCCATTATCACAGTGGTATTCATGTTTAGGAAAGCCGCTAAACAAATGCTTGCAAAATTGCTAAATGGCTAATTAATGTCTGTTAATTAAGAAAATTGCTCATGGTAACAAACCATGCCGTTGCTGGCAGCCGCTAGGAAGACACACACTTGTTGAAGTCAGTAGCGTGGCAGGTAGGGAACATCTGCTCCGCGGAGCTTTCCGGAAGTGAGCAGCCCCTGGCCTGCAGACAGACCCCAGGCCTGTCCTTGGTGGCCCCCCAGGGTTCCCGGATGGCCCCCCGTCTTCCTCTCTCACCTCTTCCTTCTGCGGATCTCCAGGCCCACCCCTGCATCCCCTCCTCGGGTCTGGGCTGTGTGCTTCCTGAGCAGGTGGGACCCGGCGGCCTGTGTCTGAAGGAGAGAAGGCTTTGCAAGAAAACCCTGGCCTGTGTCTCAAAGATTCTTTCTCTCCTTGTCGTTTTTAATGTAACCACACCCATTCCGTTGCATGGTTTGAATTTTTCTCAAAGGCACCTTCCCTGGTACCAGCAGTGGTCGGGGGTGGGGGGAGTGAATTAGGGAAGGGCTCCTCTGCGTCAGCACCGGCGTCCAGCTCCCAGTGCCCCAGGATGGAAGGCAGGCTGGCTGTGCCCTGCAGTGGGGAATACACTTGACATTGTCACCCAGTACACACACACACACACACACACACACACACACACACACACATTTACAAGTGAAATAGGGGCTAGTGAAAAATAACTTGCTTTAAAACATAAAAAGCTCTCTGATATTTTCTATTATATTTTTGAAATTCTATTCCAGTTTAAAAAATGAAGAAAAAAGTGGTTGCAACCCACTAAATTGATTTCACCACCCACTAATAGGTTGCAGCCCACAGTTTGACCAACCCCATGGTTTAAGCGAACTCATCTGCCCATTCCTTCTGTGGGAACTTTAGGTCAGCATTGCCCAGGGCTTTGGGGGTCAGCTTGGAGCTGTGGCTGGCTCGTCGCCAACTGGAATGGAATGCCCAGCCTCTGCACCCACCCGCCTAGCACAGCAGTCTGGGCTGCAGGGGCTCGGGTGGACCTTGGCTCTGCCATTTGCCAGCTGTGTGCCTGTGGGCAAGGCACTTGGTCCCTTGAGACCCAGTTTCCTCATCAGTAAAAACAGGAATGAGAAACCCCACCTCACGGGGCCAGTCTCAAGTGAAGGTGAATCAATGCACTGTGCTGAGTGGGTGCTCCGGAACTGTCTTCCTCTCGTTTGCCCATGTGTTCACTCTCTGGCACCACCCGCTCCTCCTGTCTGTCCTCATTCCGCCATTAGTAGGCCGGTTTCCAGGTCCCCGCGACCTGTGTCTGTCCTCCCAGACTGGGAGTCCCCTGAGGCCAGGGCCTCGCACACGCCATGCAGGGTGGGTCTGTTTCTGTGCCTGCTGTGTTCTCCGAGCCTGCGTCAACCGACGTATTTAACATGGCAAACTCCGCTCCAACAACACGAGTCGATGCCCAGGCCCCTGCTCCTGCGTGCTTCGACAGAGAAGCTGGATTTGAGTTCTCATTCCTGTAAATCCTCACGAGGGTGCACATCAGCTTCTCTCCCTCCCGCTCACCATCTTCCAATGAGCCGGTGACCTAGGCAGCAGCTCATACCTCCCCGCCAGCCAGAGCCCGCCGCCCGCACGCCCGCCGCCCACCCTCCGTTTTGGTTTAATTTTTGTTCTTTTAAGCTTCTCCTGCGCTTCTCCATGTGCTGTGATCTATAACCTGCCTCTACTGTCTGGCCTCACAGGGTCCTCCGGGGTCACAGCCCTCGCCGCACGCACAGCCTCCACCCCACAATCCCAGCAGCATGATGGGACCCCACAGTCAGGTAACGCACTTGGCTCGCCCGCCCACCGGGGGGCATGGGGCACCAGGAGGACAGAGCCAGCAGAGGAAAAACAAAAATCAAAACGTGCTCTCACCATTGCCTTTGAGTCTTGGTTGACAAAAGAAGTGTTTTTGAAAAACATACATATTATTTTCTAAAGAGAGTCTTCATTCCTTGGACATCACACCCAGCTTGGATCTGAAACCAAAAGAAAAGAAAAACATTCCTGTGACCTTGTCAGCGGCCTTTGCGTTTTTGTTTTTTCCTCTCTCACTTTTGGTTTGGTTTTTTGAGTTTGGTTAACCATTTGTTTGTGACCGAAGCTGCATCCCTAGCCTTTTCTTTATGCACTCTCGCTGCTGAGAAAGCTTTCCTGCCCATTCCCCGCATTACGTTAGGGAGCCCACTGCCCCTCACCATTTTCATTGTGCGTCCCCCTCGAGTCCTCGCTCCCCTTTCCCGCCCCTCTGTCAGTGGTTTCTGTGTGCGCTCGCGTGTCCAGCTTCGTCTGCACACCCTGAACATTTATGTGCCGGTCCCTTTTGTGGTCCTCTGATTCGCCCTTCCCGAGAGCAGAGGTTTTCCTCCTTCGCCCCATGCTGATGTCACTGCTCGTCCACGTCCTGTGCAGAGTCCCAACTGCTGCCCCGGCACCCAGAGTCCATCTCCCTAGACAGACGCAGACGCAGGTGCAGAGTCGGAGTTCCGTGTGTTGTGGCCTCTGTTGTTTCCTCTGCCCAAAGGGACTTTTGTCCAGAGGGAAGAGGCCACCAGGAGAAAGAGTTTGAAAGATCGTTAGTTGTAACAAAACTAGACTTTGTGGAGTGGAGTGCATTTGTGTTTGTCACTGTGCAGGAGCGCAGGCTGTCATTGAACTAATTCCCTGTAATTGCAGCCTTTTATGTCACCGCGATATGCAGGCGGCCCCAGGCCCCCGATCAGAATGGGAAACCAGGTACTGTACCTTTTTGTGTTCTCTTCCCCCTCACTCCGCCGCCCTTGACCCTAGTTGGACTCTACTCCCATCAAAAATGTGGGGAGCTCTGGTTGGTGTGGCTCAGTGGATTGAGTGCCGGCCTGCAAACTGAAAAGTCGCTGGTTCGATTCCCAGTGAAGGCACATGTCTGGGCTGTGGGCCAGGTCTCCAGTTGGGGGTGTGTGAGAGGCAACCGATCGATGTTTCTCTCCGTCCCTTCTCCCTCTCTAAAAATAAATAAATGCAATCTTTTCTTAAAGAAAAGTGGGGGAAGGATTAGGAGGTAGAGGGACAGGTTTTAACAAGGTAGCTTTATAAGCAGGTCCCCAGAGAGGGCCCTGTGTCCATTCCCTGTGCGTTCTGCAGCCCCTGCCAGCATTTTCCCTGCCTCTCCCGGGAGACTCGGAACCTGGGTTCTGGAGCTTGGAGGGCAGCAGCAGCCACCGCCGCCAGGGTGGGAATGTAGGGTTTCAGCTATTCTAGAGAAGGTGGTAATACCCCTACCCCTCCCTTCAGCCCCTTCTTGGAAAAGGGTCTTCCTCCTTAATGAAGTTAATTGACAATGTGCATTTTTTCCTGGAAGCTTTTGAGAATTGCCAAGGCTGGTAAATAGAACCCTGCTATTAAGGGGAGAAATGGCCCGTAGGAGCGCTCAGATCAGGGCCTGCGGGCAGCAGAGCAGGACATTTGGGAGTTTTTCAACAACGTCTGCCTGCTCCCCAGACCCAACTCAAAACAAGAAAGGATTTGTTCGTGTAATTAGAAGAGTGGTCTGCCTGCGGGGAGGGCTTTCAGCCTGGGTTGTGTGCCTTCATGTTGGCCCTTTGGGGCTGGCAGTTCTAGGTGGCCTGGGGAACCGGCCCCTCCTACCCCCTGAGTCCAGCCCGTCCAGAGGCCGGAGGGGAGGTGCTGAGGTACTGATGAATATCCTCTTTTGAGGATAGACAACTGTATATCTTAAAGAAACTTTAGGGAAGTGTCTCTTTGTGCCAAAATAATTTTTTGGCATAACTCTTCGAGGGATCTTGCAAAAAGCCCTTAAAAAGTCTGACAGCGACACCAGTGCATCCAGCCCTTGCTGCCTTGGAGCTGGGAGTTCGGTCACTGAGTTCTCTGAGTTTCGCTGCTTCGTTCTCCAGGCTCCACGAGCATGACCCCGAGTGAGACGCCACAGGCACTGTGGAGAGGTGCTCTTAATCGGGGCCTCCAGTTTTGAAGTTAAATTGCCTCTCAGGTCCCCCCCCCCTTTTTTTTAAATGTCCTTTGTTTCCTCTTTTCTCTGACACGAAGGGGGCCAATTTGGACAAGAGGAATTAGAGACTGGCTTTTTTGAGCAAGGAGGCCCCTTGGCTATGTCACAGATGAGGAAACAGAGGGTCAGAGGGTAGGAGTGACTTCCCAAACTCTCCCAGGGAGCTGGGCTCGAGTCCTCCTCTGGCTCCTGGGCCAGTGCTGTTTGCACTGCACCTGTTCATTCAGTTCTCGTACTTGTGAAAGTGTCTTCCTTTTGACCCAACTACTCAGTGGGTCTCCTTTCTGCCATTGCATGCATGGGCCCCTGTCAGCAACTTTCCCTCTTGCCCAGCCAGGGCTCTCCTTGGCCTGAGCGGGCCTCTGCCCCAGGGAGAGAACAGATGTTTCCTTATCACAGTTGTGGCCCTTCCTCCTGCCGTTGAGGGACACTAGAGGAAATGGCGCGTTTCTGTCTGTCAGTGGGCCATGTGCACGCACCCAAGAGAGCAGACGGAGGATAAGTCGTTACCTGCACCCGGTAACGGGTTGCAGACCAGTCTCTCAGCCTCCTGCCCCTGCTTTAGAAAATGACACTGGTTTTCCAGTTTCCTCTGAACTCAAGATGTTGCCTCCTCCCGGGGGGAGCGCCCCTTTCACAGGTGCCACCCCGGAGGCTTCTTGGAGAGTGCCTGGTTTGGAGCTGCCAGTCCCACCACAGCCTCCAGCCACCCAGCTAGCCTAGCCCTTCGCCAGGGCACGCGGAGGCAGCGGAACTAGTTCAGGCTCACAGGGCCTTGGCCTCCCAGTTTAGGGTGGTGAGAAGGGCGCTCAGGGGCATCAAGGGCCTCAGGGTCATTGACTTGCCACAGTCTTGCAAGGCCAGCCTCTCACCTGCCTTCCTGGCCGAAGTTGGGTGCTGTGTACAGAGCACCGCTCTTTCAAGCAAGGGTGGCTGGGTGGGTAGTGACAGTGGGGTTCAGCTGGACCTGGGAGAGGAGGAGCCCGGCAGAGCCCCGCCGGCCTGGCAGCCAACACGCACAGACAGCTGAATGAGCAGTCAGAGGCCTCTGTGCTGTGTCCGTCCCTGGGCAGACCCTTGCATACCTGCCCCATGCTGCTGTAGGAGAGGCACTGGCCTGCTTCCAGGAGCCCGTGGGACAGCCTCAAAGCATCCCCCTAGCAGGTCCCGAGGTATGTGCATGGCACGTGCTTGAGTCTTGTACATGAGCTGCTGTTTTCCGTCTTGCATCTGAGAGCCTGAGCCGTCTCAGCGCAGCGCCTGCCTTCCCTTGCACAGCAGGCCCAGGCTGCCCAGTCCCATGTCAGGGTCACTCCAGTGAGGGGAGTGATTCTCCCCGGCCCCCTCTCCCCGTGTCCTGGCACGCAGCAGGCTTACCAGAGCCTGGGGAGGAGCTTTCTGTGAGAACTGGTGGGCAGCACAGCACTACCTGGAAAGGGGGCAATTGCCCAACCCCCACAGCTGCTCCATCCACCTGAACGTTCTGGGGTCCTCCAAACCAGACCAAACGGGCTCACGTGTAACCAGGCTCTAGAAGTGTCCCAAACCCCAAGGACAGACACAGACCAACCAAGTGATTCAGGGAGGAAGCAGGGCTGGGAGGAAGCAAGAGGTCAGGACAGCTAAAACCCAGTGGCTGGAGGGACACTCTCTACCCCGCGGCCAGGTAGAAATGGTTGGTGCCAGTGGCCACGTCGTGAGCATCAAGTACTCCCTAGGCTTCTGGGGTGCCCCCACAAGCCCCCCCACCCCAGTCACCCGAACATCCATTTAGAAGCTGAACAGGGAAGCCTTACCCTCGCTTCCCATCACCTTGTTCCAAACCTGGTTTGCGTTCCGCCATCAGCCCACAGGCAGGGGAGCTCCCCACTTGGCCATCCCCGCAGCAGGGAGCCGGGTAGGGGTGCGAGGGTCCCTGTCAGGGGCGCCCCGCCTTGGAAGGGATGGAAAGGGTGGCCCGTTTTCCCAAAGGCTTTCCCTCCCAAAGGCAAGGGCTCGCGTTCAGCCCTAAGGCACGGAGTTCCAGAAGTAAACCTTCCCCACAGCTCTGCCCCTCTCTCCCCTCCATGGGCAGCTGAAATAACTTCAGTCCCACATAAGTCACTTTTAATAGGTTTGCACAGCGGGTGTGCCAAGTGCTCATGCAGGAAACCCACGGCACCCTGTCCTCACCTTCTTAGCAGTGATCACACCAGCATCTGCCGCCTGCGTCAGGCTGTGGGAACAGGCTCTCCTCCCGCACCCTGCTCGCCCCTCTCCGGGGGGGCCTGCCCTTCACCCTGGGGGTGGGAAGGCGGCGTCTCACGTGAGGGGCCAGGAGTCCCCAGGAGTCCCGAGTATGCGTGGTTCCTGGGGGCTGTTGGGTTGGGGCCTCATTTTCCCCTGCCTCCGTATCAAAGCCGCTTCCTCCCGTTCCCCTTTAAAAGGGACCTCCCGCTGTTTCAGGCTTTTTAGCTAGTGGGTCTCTGGATCCCCACATCTTGGAGGTGGAAACAAAATGAGTTACGGCGCCATGAAGCAAAGGGGAGACAGGGTTGGGGTTTGGTAGTGAGAAGGAGGGGGCACTGCTGCCTCTGAGGGGGGTGCAGCAGGGGCCAGAGGGTGGCTCCCTCGCAGGGCGCAGACCCACGAAGACAGTGGGGTAGGGCGGTGGTTTCTCTCCCACTGGCGAATCCCTGACTCACCCTGCCACGGTTTTTGCTGATGCCAGCTGAAGCTGGCTGCCATTCCCCCAGCTAGCGGGCAGCAGGAATGGTCACAGGGAGGCCATGAGTGGCCCTAATTGGGCAGATGGGAGCTGGGACAGGCAGGTATGTCTCCCTTTGTCCCCTAGCTTGGGGAGCAGCCACTCAGCTTGTGTCTCCCCTCTCTTTCAGCCTCCGGGAGGAGTTCCTGGGACACAGCCACTGCTGCCCAACTCCATGGATCCCACACGACAACAAGGTCGAGAGGGCCCGGGGGGGCTGCGGGGGCATGGGGAGTCAGGAGGAGCTCCTCCTCCCGCTCCTGTCTGCCCCTGCCACTCACAGCCCGCCTCTTCTCTCACGCAGGGCACCCCAACATGGGAGGATCAATGCAGAGAATGAACCCTCCCCGAGGCATGGGGCCCATGGGGCCTGGCCCCCAGGTAACCCTGTGTGTCCACCCGTTTCCCTGACCATCTTTGCGCTCCCGCCTTCTCTCCTCTTGCCACAGTCTGTCAGTCTTCCCGTGTTGCTCAGCTTGCAGGGGTGAGAGCAGAGGGCGTGACCAGATCCCCAACTACTCCCTCTGCCCAGGGGTGGGCTGGCCGCATGCTCAGCCAGGAGCAGTCCCCCAGCAAGCAGAGTTGAGGGACCCCCAGGGAGCTAGGGGTCCCTCTGGGAGCCCCCGAGTTGACAGGCCCTTGGAGGGGAGACATGGGCTGGCATTCGGTTTGAGGGATTTGGAAGGCAGTGAGTCTGGTGCACAGGCAGTGTGGTGTGGGTCCTCCGGGAGTCCCAAAGGCAGGACGGATGGGTGGCTGTCCTAGCTCTGTTTCCAGTTCACCACAGACAAATCACTTTGACCTCTGCGGGCCCCCACAGGCCTCCGTTTCCCCGCCTGTCCAATAGGGAGTGAGTCTGTATGTACGGTTCTCTGCAGTGCCGCCCACGTGAGAGGAGGCTGGGCTGGCCAGGGCACCAGCTGCTCCAGCACGGAGCCTTTGCCGTTTCATAAACTGGGGTCCTGCCTGAAAGTTCTTTTGACCAGAGGGCTCCATTGCAAGAAGGAGGACCATTTGGAAACCTCTGGAAGAAATTATTTTAGGTGCCCTGTTTATCCCTTTGTAGTTAAAACACAAAGTTTGCTCCTTGTCCCCCAGCTGCGTACCTTGTCACAGGTACAGGGTCCCACAGTGCCATCAAGCAGGAGTCTGCCAGGCCGTTCCTGTTCCAGAGCCTCCTCGAGGTTGGCTCCTACTCTCAGTGTTTGAATGTTGCTCTGTCCTTCCCTCCGTGGGTGTTCTCTGGGGTCTGACTGCCTGAAGGAGGCTAGAAGGCTGGGGGAGGGGAACGGGGTGTCTTGTAGTGAGGGTGGGAGGGTTTTGTTCCAGGGTGTTTCTGCCCTGCCCAGAGGCTGCTTGTCCCTCCTGCCTGCCTGTGGATGTTCGGGTTCTCTGTGCCGCTCCCCAGGTTTCCAGTTCCCTTGGGTGGAGCAGCATCCCCCCACCCCGCCCCCACACACAGACACCTCCCTTTTATAGGAAGGGGCACCCACACACACCCCACAGCCCTCTGCTCCATCCAGCATCGTGCGTATAGCACGTCCAGCCCCAGCTTTCTTCTCCGTGGGCTGCAGCCTCCGTGGTGCTGGAAGGTCTCGGGGGAGGGCCTTGACTTTGGCCCTATAGTCCTGAAAGGAGGCATGCTTACACCACTTGCAGCTCTGGTTTCCCTGTTTTGTTTTGTTTTTTTCTTTCCTCCAATCCCTCGGAGATCGTGTCTTTGCCAGCCTCCTCTTAAGCCATCGGGGTGGCCCCTACCTGTCGAGTGGCTGTCTCGGGCTGACCTCTGCAAAGCAGCCCAGCAGAGGAACCCGTGGGAGGGTGGCAGAGTCTGCAGAAGAGAGATTCCTCCTCAGTCTCCTTTAGCCTCCACCGCGCATTAGAGATACTCTTGGTGTGGAAATCGGCAGTGGCCTTGGACTTCCAAAATGTTCTGGGGGGTAAAAAGGATGGAGTCTGGAGTGGAAACTCCATTCCTATACTATTATCCACCCTTCCGGGTTTTTGGAGGCTTAGCAGCCGCATCTGTAAAACGGGAAGGAGAGCAGTATCTGCCTCATAGGGTGGCAGGAAGGGGAGGGCCAAGCTCTTGGCATGACACTTGGCCTAGAGTAGCCCCTCGGCGAGCAATCTGTTTTCTAACTTGGGGGCTTAAAACAGGTGTTCGGGATCCCATTGCTTGGGTTGGGCAATTGTTTCTATAGTTTCATTTTTACTTTTCTGCCAGAGGTCACTGGTGTATTGAGGTTCCAGAAGCTGGGAATGGATATTATCAGACTGGCTGAGAGCAAAGTGTTCTGGAAGTTTAGGACTTCCTGCGGGGTCAGTGGGTGTCTCCTCGTGTCAGTGGCCCTGGCCAGCCGTCCGGCACACCTGCAGCCTGCTGTAAAGAGGTGATGAGGTTACCAAGGCTGAGGTCTTGGCAGAAGGGGCTTCCTGGGGCCCAGTTGGCACTCCTGGTCTCACCCAGCAGCATGCAGGGTGGAGCTCTCCAGCAGGATCTGGGGGTGACCCCGAGGGGAGGGAGATGCTAGCACAGGGGTGAGGCCAGCTGCCACCTCCCACCCCCCATCAACCTTAGGGGCTCTCAAAACATCTCCTTGTTCTTTTAATTTTACCAACATGGCGACCCTTAAGTGCCTTTCCTGTGTCTTCTGTACCCCTCTGGGTAGGGTGCGGTATTCAGTTTTGGAGCCAGACCTCCCTCAGAGTGACCCAGAGTGTCTGCGCCAGCTCCTCACTGTGGGACTTGGGCCTGGGCAAGGCTAGGGCATGGCATGGACCTCAGGGTCTGGGGTCAGCCAGGGAGTGGGCATAGCAAAGCCTGAAAGTTTTGAACCCCAAGGCTGAGGGTGGGGAGAGGACAATTCTCTGCACACACCCCCAGGCCTTTCTTTTGTCCCTGAGGGTGCTGTTCTGGTCATTCCCAGTGGTCAGGAGAGGGGTGAGCTGAGAACTTAGTGCTGGAAAGCACAGTTCTGGCCACAGCCCAGCCTGGTTGGGTCTCAGTTCCTCATCTGCAAAATGGGTGGCCAGGTGACCACCTCACGGGCTCCTTGTGGGGTTGGGTGAAAGGGCAGCCGCAGGCATCCCATGAGTCCGTCCCTCGCTGGGCCCTGGGCCAGGCTGGTGGTAAGGCGGCCAGCCCCACCGGCAGCCTTTAGTGAGTGCCACTGCACGCAACGCACAGTGCTGGGCTGGGACCAGACACACAGGTGGGGAGCCCTCAGCCTGTTCCTCCAAGTGCAGAATAAGATTGCTAATAGCCACAACTTTCCCAACAAAGAATAATAGGTAGAGTGTGGTCTTGGCTACTTGACAGATTTCAGATCCAAACAGAGGGGCATTGCACATTGGGAGCCTGTGTCGCGTTTTAGCCTAAATGTTACAAAGGAACCAGCAGCCAGGCACTGCCCTACCCTCTGTCCTCAGTCCCTCAGACAGATTTTACGAAACAGCCAGTGCCAAAAAAAGAGGTAGTATTTCCACTTAATTGTTTTCTCTCTGTAAAGAATGATGTGTGTGGGTCGTGTCAGGTGGGAGCCTTCTGGGAACTTTTTCAAAAGTGAATTGAATGAGGCAAAAACTGTAGGGGCTTCTAGCTGGGTTTAGGTTGAGAGAAGGCGCAGCCCATCAGAGGAGCCGTGGCCCCCAGACCTCTCGGACACGGTTCCCAGGGATGCGGCCCTCGGTGTTCCAGTTCAGGTCTGGCGGAGGCAGCACAGCCTAGAGCAGATGGCCACTCGGGCCCGACTCCGTGTGCGGAAGTGCAGGTGAAGGGCAGTCCCCAGTCCCTAGGAGATCTCTGCCACCCTCTGTGGGAGCGGCAGCACCTCCCTGCTGGTCAGCATTGTCCCAGCTCAGTGCCCCTGAGCAGAGACTCCAGAAAGATGGGAGGATCAGAGCCCTGGGGGCTGGGTGAGGAGGGAGCAGGCTAATCACGGGGACTTTCCTGGGGGGTGTCTCCTAGTGTGGGATGGCCAGGCCCCTGTGTGACCAGAGAGTAGGGAGGAGAGGTCCCTCAGCCTGGACACCACCCTGGCAGCCCGAAGTCCTCTCCGACAGACCTGTGATGGAGACTAGCAGACTGGGTGGCTCTCCCCTAGTGTGCGGTGCAGAGAGCGCTGAGCAGGCCACAGGCAGCTCCGAGAAAGAGCCCCTTTGACAAGGTGTTTTGGGAGGTGGTAGCAGGCCCCTGCTGGCTGCAGGGTGAGTGGCCATGTTATTGTGGACCCTGCACAGAGCACTGAGCTGAAACCAAGAGGGGGGACCTGATCCAGAGTCCCCAGCAGGGGGAGAGGGGGGGACGTCATTGTTGCTGACTGGGGATCCGATCCCTTGCCCCCCGCTGAGAGCTGTGTGTCTCCAGCCGCCGTCCCTGCCCCTGTGGAGCTGTGCTGGAGCAGTGGAGGAGGTAGTGTCTGGCTAATGGTCACACCTTGCCGCCCAGGGCCTCGGGCAGGGAGGCAGGCACTGGGAGCAGGGATACCATGTCACCTGAGTCTCCGAAACTGTGCTTCCAGGCCCACCTGCCCTCTGTGAAAAGGCTGGTGTTTGTGATTTGAAAACTTAGCCCAAAGCTCACTTTTATCCCCACTTTCCCCTGTGATTTACCGTGTGTCTGGCCTCCTTGGTCCTCCAGCTTGTCATCTGTGAAATGGGAAGGTATGAGTGACCCTCCAGGGTCTATGCTTCTGAAGGTGGGAGGACCTGGCGGGCACTGTCCCTCCACGGAAGCAGCCATACTGGCTGTTCGGGAGGCTGCCAAGGGCGGGGAGGGGTCAGGAACAGCAAGGGCAGTCTTTCAGGAGTGAGCGTCCTACTTGTTATCTCCCCTCAGGCCACCCTTCACCCCACCCCCGTCCCCACCCCAAGGTGCAGCCTGCTGTCCCGGGTGGGAGAGGCCCCTGGAAGATCTCTCTCTGTCTCTCCCTTCCTGGAGGGGTGGACTGTCTGGGAAGGGGGTGAGCTCCCTGTTGCGCAGGAGCACGAGTGAGGCTGAGATGTGTCGAGGGGACCTCAGAGTGGCACAGGGGGCTGGGCAAGGGTCCTTCAGGAGCTGAGGTTCTGTGATGCTCGAGGCAGCGCTGGGGGCTCTGGTGTTGGTTTTGCTGCCGACATCCCAAAGCAGTGCGCACCTGTGAGGGCCGGCCGCACTTCAGAGCTGCCATCTCACCTGACCCTCGCAGGGCGGCGGGTGGGAGTCCTTTTCCCAGTCTGTGGAGGAGGCAGCGGGGCAAAGGGCTTCAGTGGCAGCCCCGCTGCAGGCATTGCTTCGCGAGATGCGGCCACCCTGCTTCTGCACCCCAGTTTTTAAATCTTTAAAGCGGAGATAGCAATGGGGTTGTGTGATGGTTAAATGTAGGTGCTAAAAAGCACCCAGCACAGCCTGGCACAGAGTAAGCATTATTGTTACTTGGGTAGTTTGCTCAGGGTCAGCAGCAAGTGGCTGAGCCAGGGTGCTGACCTCCCCCATGTTCTGACCCCAGATCCATGGCACCACTCACTGCCCTGTGACATCTCTGTCAAGTGGGCCTGGCCCCCTATGTCCACCCGAGCCTGCCACTGTTTGCCCCAGGGCGGGCACACATCTTCTCAGCCCTGATCAGGCATGGGGGATGCAGGCTTAAGAGTGCTGGCTGGCCAGGGTGCCTCTGCCCTGCTTCCCCCACTGTCTGCACCCTCTCTGGGGATTCTTCTGTGGACTCCACACCCTTCTGTGGGTGGCCAGGCAGGGGAGGCAGCCCCGAGGCAGTGAGGTTGGGGAGATGGCCCAGCTAAAGAACTCCCTGTCGGCCTGCTGTTGCCTCTGAGGTGGCAGCTGTGGCCCTCGAGCCTCCCGTCCACCCCTGCCCACCGGCCCCTCAGGTGTGGGGCATAGCGTGCACACTGCACGGCTTGCAGATCTGGGCCGAAGCCCCAGCTGTGCCATGTGCTGACTGGGGCTTTGGGCCTTCGGTCTCCTCTTCTGTGGAACGGGACAGGACCAGCCTCGAGGCGTGGCTATGAGGACCAGACCAGACTGCATATACGTGCGCACCCTGTACTCCGTAAAGAGCGGGGAGTTCTGCTCTTCCTCGGTCACCAGCCCCGCGGACCTGCTTCCGTTGGGCTCTCGGATGAGGACAGAGCCGCTGCCGCAGCCAGACCCAGCAGACCCATTTGAGTTTTCCCTCCTTCCCGGCCCTGCTGATGCACTCAGCGCTGCCCTGTGCTGGCGCAGGGAGGGGGGCTCTGAAGGCCCTGGGACCGAAGTTCCCGTCTTCCACGGGTGCTTGGAGTCCAGCAGGGGAGACAGCTGTGTGTGGCCTTGAGCCTTGCCTCTGTGGCATGGGCCAGGGAGGAGGGGAGCCGCACAGCATTACAGGAGCAGCTGGACGGAGCAGTTACCCCGAAGGGGCGGGGCGGGGAAGCCTTCACAGGCGAGGTGCGCTGAGCTGGGTGTTAGAGGATCCTGTGTGGGAGGGAGCCTGCCCAGTGGAGAAGGGGACCAGGCATTCGTTCCTGCCTGGAAAGTAGCCCTGAAAGGGGGGAGTTGGGCTTGTCTGTGACGAGAGGAACCGGGTGAGAGGCCTGGGGCCCACCCCACTCTGCCTGGGAGTGTTGCACTGAGCTGGGCTGGGGCTCCTGGGAGTTCCCCAGTTCTCTCTGGACTCTGCTCAAACAGAGCGGTGATTCCGTCTGAGGGTAGGAACCTTTTCCTCTGGCTCCTACCACTGCACCTGCTGAGGGTCCCATGTGCTGGGGCTTGAATTAGGCAGCTTGACCTGGGGGCGGGGGACACCCCAGGCCTGGGGCAAGGTGGGGAGTCTGCACATACCAGGCCTCGGGGGCAGCTGCAGGCCAGGCCTTTCAGGAGCGTTTCCTCCCCTTCCAGTCCGAGTGCTGCTGAGAGAACCATCTTGAAGCCCCCCGAGCTGCGTTTCAAGTTGTGACTAACTGTCCCTCTGTGCTGGCTTGTCATTGTGACCCCATCACTTGACTCCCACCCTCCCTCCGCCTTTTTTAAACAAATGTGTTTTTTTCTCATCAGATTCTTCTCAGAGACTAATTCTCTTGCTTATATTCTGTCTGCCCCTTCCCCTTCTCTCTCCGGTTCCCCTTCTCCTTCTCATAGACTGACCCTTGGTTATCGTTGCAGAATTACGGCAGCGGCATGAGACCACCACCCAACTCCCTCGGCCCCGCCATGCCCGGGATTAACATGTAAGGCACAAACGACCCGCCAGTGGCTCAGAGCCCGTGGTTTTGCCCCTACTCCGCTGTCCTTGTAGAACACGGGGGATCCATTCAAGTCATTGCTGGCACCTCCCTGGGCCTCCGTCTCCTCGTCAGTAAAGTGAGGATGTTAAAATGCTGGTGATGAGACCTCATCCCATACAGTACTTGGCATGCCCAGCGCTGTCCGCAGCATGTTACATGGCTTAGCTCGCCGAATCTTCATAAGGACCCTGTGAGGTGTCACTGCCATCTCCCACTTACGGATGAGGTAACTGAGGCACAGAGAGGTGAAGTCACTTGGCCAGGCTCACACAGCATCAAGAGGAAGGGTCAAGATTTGAACCCTGTACAACTAACTGTTCTAGTGCTTTGGTGTTTCTTAACCCCTCGTGGGGGTAGATCTGTAGGAAAGCGCGCACGCAGAGGAAACTTCTTACACTTCACAAGTTTTTCATATAATTTATAGAGTTTGTAGATTTCTACCCATGGAACTACCGATCACGACCCCAGAGCCAGATGGTCTCTGAGGCCCTGGGCTGGTGTGAAGGACGCCCTGTTAGTCGTTTCTGCCCTCTGGTTCTGCCCCTGCTGGCACCACCCCCTTGGAGTTGATGGCACCTTTTTCACTGTCTCGTCTCTCTCCCTCTGTCAGGGGCCCGGGAGCTGGCAGACCCTGGCCCAATCCTAACAGTGCTAATTCAGTGAGTACCAGCTTGGCTGGGTGGTGTTCACCATGGAGGTCCTGGGGTGCAGGGGGGTTCCTGTCCCCAGGTTGGAGGTGTCAGCTGGAAGGGGAGCTGCAGCAGGACTCTACCTGATGCCTCCAAGGAGGAGCCCACCTGTAGGCAGAAGCTTGGGAGTGACATGCTGGCGCCACATTGGGCTCGGCCCCTGCCCAGCCCAGCCCAGCCCACTGCTCTGCAGAAACTCTGGGGTGTGAGCTGGGAGCTTGGCGAGGAGAGCCCTGTTCACACAGGCTCCTGCAGGGCCAGCCTCCAGCACTCAGACAAAGGAGCCGGGAAGCGCAGACAGTCCCAAGGGAGACGGCCAGAGGGGTGGGGCGAAGTTCCAGCCTCCTGCCCTCTGGAACTGGACGGCCCCCTAAGGCTCCCTGCAAGGCGCTCGGGATCAGTTCAGGAGCTGGCGTTTGCTCACACCCCCGGCTCTCTTAGGGAAACTAGCCAGATGGCTCAGTGGGTCCCACAGCCTGTCCCATGAAGAGTGGGGTCTCATCCCCACTTGGGTTTGGAAGCCAAGAAGTGCTGCCTGTCGGAAGAAGTGACTCTGACATGTGGCTCCCCCACCTCTTATTTTTAGATTCCATACTCCTCCTCATCGCCCGGTACCTATGTGGTAAGTGTGTGTGGGTTTGGGGTGTTGTATGTCTCGCCACTTGTGACTGAGTGTGCAAGAGAACTTCTCGAGTCCTTGTCTCTCTCCCTTTCAAAACACATTCTGAGCACAGATTCCAGCTGTGCAAGAACTCACTCTCAATATTCAGGCATTTATACCTTCTGGTGGCCCAGAAGTTTTCAATGAGACCTAGAACTGGGATCCCCATCTCAGGGGATGACCTGTGGGTTGGCGAGCTTCCACCTCAGGCCTCTGGCTCTGCCGACTGGATGTACACATGTGTGCACATGCATGCACACATGCAGCCAACTCAGTTTGAGGAAAGAAAGGAGGGGGTCCGAGTTCAGTCCCTCGAGGCTGAAACACTCGGGCTGAGTGCGGGCTGGGGCCCAGGTGCGCACTCGCTGCTGTCGTGGCTGGAGCTTCGTGGCCTCTCCCCACATGTCACTACCGTGGGTTTCTCATATCAGTTTTTATCTTCTCTCCAGGGACCCCCTGGCGGTGGTGGCCCCCCAGGGACACCCATCATGCCTAGCCCTGCAGGTAAGAGGGCTCGGGGAAGGGGTGCCTTTGCAGGTGCAGGCACAAAGAGGCAAAGCCTCTTCGCCACTCTTGCTGAGCGGCACCCCCTCCACTGCTCATCGTGGCGTTAGGCATTGGAGGGCATGAGACCCCTGGTGCCACGGAGCCACCGTGTGGTCTCAGCCAAGTCACTTATCTGGTTAAAGGACGAGTGGGCAGGGAGGTGGGGGAACAAAGGGTCTCGCTGGCCTCAGCTCCCGCTGGTCAGACAGAACCCTGTCCTGGTTGCCTGTTTGTCTAGGCTCTGGCAGCCGGGGGCCAGGGCTCTACGCACAGTGCCTCTCGGCTTCTGGTCTTCCACGTAGGAGATCCCTCCTCCCTTTTTCTTTAGCCAAGGGAGGGCACGCAGGCAGGCGTGTGCACACCTGCACACACAGCATCGCAGTTGTGTTTCTTCCCCAGCTAAGAATAGCACGCTACCAGCTAGGAAGAACCCAACACGCAGCCCTCGCCCACCCCAAAGATAAAACGTGAGAGGTGGTTGGGTTTCTCCCTGAGAAATACGGGGCCTGCTCCTGATACAAACACGTTAGTTGATTTCCTAAGAAGTCATTTCAGGCTAATTGGGGAGACGGAGGAGGGGTCCCTCTCCTCAGCTCCCCGTAGCAGGGAAGCTGCTCTGCTTCAGGGATGGAGCTGGTGGCAGCTGATACTCTGGCTCCCACTCCGACTCCTCCTCTCTGCTGCTGCATTTTTATGAGCTGCCTGACCTACATTCAGACTGGGTCGCATTAAGCCACTCCGTATGTTAATGTGTCTCCAGCCCCATCCCTGCCTCTCCCTCCTGCCCCATCAGCTTGGCAGGGAGGCCCCCAGGTAATTTGTGGTGTTTCTCTTTTCCCTGATTTGATTAAAGCCACAGGCAGGGCTGGGGAGAGCCCAGGTGGTGGTCTGGCTGCCCCTGAGCTGTCCCAGCCAGTGACCAGACTCGGTCTGGGGTGGGCAGACAGGAATTTGAACCTAGAATCCTCCCTGGCTATGGCCACACTGCTGTCCAGACACCCTGAAATTCTTCGTTTCAGGGTTGAGTGGTTTTCACAGTTGAATTTTCTGTGATTAAAAACTTTGTGAATCTTCATTAAATACAAATTAGCCAGAAAATGGCGGCACTTAAAGAAAATTTTAGGTGATAAAATACAAAAGAATGAGTTCAAGTGCCACAAGTTTGTTTTAATTAAGAAATGAATTAATCACCCCAATTTGCGGGTTTCCACTGTTCTACAGATTCAACAAATTCCAGCGACAACATCTACACAATGATTAATCCGGTGCCGCCTGGAGGCAGCCGGTCCAATGTAAGTCTGCTTTCTAATAATTTACATATCAGATACAATAACAAATCATAATTAACTTCATCAGCTGAGGGGAAAGCAAGTTTAATTGATTTCAGCCATTTGTTACCAAAGACGAATAAAATGAACCATCAGGAAAGTGATTAACTCTCAGGCACCTCGGTTCCCGTCTCATAGCCATGGGGGTGGAAGAGAAGGGGTGGGGTGGTTCCTGTTCCTCTGGTCAGAGCAGGGCACCAGGCCCCGCTGCAGGGGCCCCCTGCTGCCCGGCGTGGGTGCGGGAAAGCCCCGGGGTGCCAGTGGGGTTTGGGCCGGTCCCTGCTCAGCAGGCTGGCTGCGCCGCCCTGGGCATCCGTCACCCTCTGTCTGTTTCCTTGGCCGTGGTGCTTAGAGTGGAGGCCAGAGCAGGAGCGTGTGGCCCACTGGGGGCCTTCCCGCCTCGCGCCCCCAGCTTCTTAGGGAGCCCGGTGACTCCTGCACTTTGCAGCCTCTTTGCCTCTCTTCAGGCCGTTCCCTCGTTGAGAAGCCACTCCCTCCCTCCTTGGCCCCTCAAAGTTCCAACCTTGAGTGATGCTGCAGCTCAGATGCTATCTTCTGGGGTCACCCTACTCCCTGCTCTTCTGTCCTGTGTCACAATGGGACTTGACTCTGCAGCTGTAGCCTGTCTCCCTCTCCCCACTGGGAGCTCCCTGAGCCCATGGCCAGTCCATCTCACCTCCGGACAGCGCTTCCACACCGGCCCGGACGCTGACCCCGCCCTCGCCCTCAGGAGCTTGGGGTTTGGAAAGGAGGCTGCTGTGGGATCAGATCAGCAGCCTGTGGGCTGCAGAGCCAGAGGGTGGGCCTGGGGCCGCAGAATTGCGTGGCTCTGGGGGCACTGTTTGGTTTTATTGGTTTACTTATTAATGTGACACCCAAACCGTGCCATGTGCTAAAACCCTGACTGAGAGAGACCCTGTGCATGTCACTGCATCTGTTCAGGCTGCTTGTAGCCTCTGAGATGAGGGTCTTTGGCCCGTCTCCTAGGTTGACAGGGAACCCAGAGGGGCTGTGACCACCAGGGTCACGTAACTGAGCAGGATGGGAAGCACACATTCTGCCCCCCCTTCTCCCCTCTTCTGCGCACCCAGCACCTCCCAGCGCTGCCTCATCACCCCTCTCTCACTAGGGCAACCGGCCGTCCGGCTTCAGCTCTGAAGCCCGACGTCCCAGGCGACGACATACCGGGGCACAGAAGGCCTGGTTTACAGCAGTGGGCACGGAAAGTTGGGCAGGAAAGTGTAGACCTATTCAGTGACCCAAAACACAGGCCCTGGGCACCCTGTGTTAGTGTCACCTGGAAATGGCATCGATCACCTGACCCTGTGGTTGCCGTTGGCGAAGTTTTCTCGACCACGGATTCCGTCAGTCATGGATTCCATCGGTCGTGACCTTGGCTCTCAGCAGTGGGTCCTCCACACCGCGTTGTCCCAGGGCACCACTCAAGTGCACTGCGGTCCCGGGCGCAGGGGGCATCCATTCGTCTTTGCTGCTGTGGGCGGGCGCACTGTCGCACTCTGTGTGGAGACAGCGCAGGGCTCTGTTCCACTGTGAGTGTGGTGGCCACGTTTCCTGAGAGTTCAGATGACGGAAATGAGGACTACGACGGCACCAGGGAGGAGACACAGTGGCCGGTGGGAGGGCACATGCGGCCAGATCAGGGGTGTGAGTAACCAAGGCGGGGGAACCACAGTGCATGCTGCGAAGAAGGGGAGGGGGTGTGAAAGGGGCAGGGGGTCGAAGGCGCGCTGGGGACTGAACCGCACGGGTCTGGGAGGAGACAGGTCTGTCCTACCACCCCAGCGGCAGTCGAGGCTGCTGCCCTCACTTGGACACACCCTGAAGGAGCACCGTCACCGTGTGAGTCCCTCAGTTGCTCCCTGAGCTGAGAAGTTCACTGCTGAGCCCTCCGGGTGAACAGAAGGGGGGTTTGAAGACCGGGTGCTGCTCCTTCAGTGGAGAGTTGGTTCTGTCAGATGTTGACCAGGCGGGCTTCCTTCAGCATGTCAGGTGGGGCATCGAACCCTGGCGGCAGAAACACGTCCCGGCTCTTGGGTACTTTGACTTGAAAACTGAAGCTTGAATTTGTCATCGTGATTTCTGTGAAGAAAACATAAAGATGGTTGTTCTCTTGTCCAATACAAACTGAGGCTTCACTCATTTGTCTGTGTACTTGGCAGAAAGTACACAGGTAATTGGACAAATATCAGTCTGTAAGCGTCTCACCTGCTGAATGTCCCACATACCTTGCCCCCCATGGTGCTACAAAGGGGTGTGATTTGCTTACCAGTGACTCAGGCTGTCATAATGAAAGTTCTTGGTCACTTGTCAGTTTCCTGAAAACATGCAGAAGCTCTTAATGAGATTTTTTACTTTCTAGAAATTGCGAGCCTCAGACAGCCCCCATGCAATGGCCGTCATTGTTGCCGGCCGCAGGAAAGATGTTAAAATGTTGGCCTGCTGTGCCACGTTGAGATGAGAGTGGAGAAGGGAACCCGCTGCAGTAGCGGTGTGTGTGCCGTGTCGTCCCCAGAGCTGTTTGATGGTCTGTAAAGAGACCGTGAGGAGCCCAGATGAGGAGGAGTGGCCCTCGGACCCCACTTGAGTTGTTCAGAGCCGTGGAGGGGGAGGGGGTTGCAACAGAACCTCCTAACTGCCAAAGAAATGACAATTTCTTGGAAATGAGACTGCTTGAGAACTCAAAAAATGTCACCAGTGAGGGCAGCCCCATTAAATAGGACTTTCCCAATTTCTTTATTAAAACTGCAACTTAATTGGAATCCAGCTTGGATCACACAAGTTCACATTTACCTTTCTGCTTTAGAGCCGATGCTCTGAGAAAGGCAGGTTAGACTGCTAACGACGCCCGGGGTGCTTTGGCAGGTTGCAGATGACGGCCCTCTGAGACAGAGCTCGCCCGGTGGCCGGTTTACCGGCACCGAGGGCCTGGCTGGGCGGAGGCGGGCTGCTCCTTACTCCAGGGCCGCGGGGTCAGCTCGAGGCAGACCCTGGGCCTGAGTACAGAGCTGAAACTAGAGCACAGAGCAAAATGCAGGAGTAAATCTTGGTGACCTGGGTTACACAAAGCTGTCTTACCACTGAAAGCACAAGTGACTAAACAAAAGAACTAGATACATCGGAGTTCATCAAAATTTAAGACTTCTGTGCTTCAAAGGACACTGTCAACCCAGAGTAGAAAAAAAATATTTGCAAATCATGTATCTTTGAATCTAAAATATGTAAAGGACTTTAATAGTATTTAAGAAAAACAAAACAAAAAAAAACCTTTGGGGCCCAGGGCGCGAGGAGACAGTTCTCCAGAGAAGAAGAAACGACGGTGAGCTGGTGCTCCTCACGGTCACTCACTGGGGAAGCGTACTGCGAACCGCGCGGGCGGGCGGGCGGGCGAGGCGGCTCCGGCCAGCGGCCTGGCAGACAGTCTCCACGTGACCTGCAGTTCCACTCCTGGGTGTCTACCCCAGAGAAAGGAAAACGTGTCCCCACAATAATCGTACACAAATGTTTGTGAGCATTCTTCATAATGGCCCAACATCGGAAACCCCCTAAGTGCCCATTGTTCTGCCTTCAGCACGTGAGTCGGGACCCCCCGAGAAAGGGCGCTCCCTGAGGTCAGGACTCGGGTGCCGCTGGGCTTGCGAGCCCGCGCGCGTGCGTGCGTGCGTGTGTGTGTGTGTATGTGCGCGCGAGCACGTGCACGCGTGTGCGAGTGCACTCTCGGCAGGAGGCTGGGGCCAAGGCCCACTCAGCCGCCACACTCTGTGCTTCCTTCTCAGTTCCCGATGGGTCCAGGCTCGGATGGCCCGATGGGAGGCATGGGCGGCATGGAGCCACACCACATGAATGGATCGTTAGGTAAGCCTGCCTCCTCGCCCGGCCCTGCCTGGCCCGGCAGCCTTCTCTCTGCCTCGGGTTCTGGCTCAGCCGGGTCCGGTCCACAGTCCCAGCCTGTTCTGGGCCCACAGGAAGATCCCAAGAGAAAGATACTGCCAGGACAGAAAATTCTCTGCACAGAAACTGTGTGGGATTAGGGTGGAGGGGGTGGAGGCCCCTCGGCAGAAGATGGTCAAGAAACAAACAGAATTCTTATTTTCTTCCAGGGTCGGGTGACATAGATGGACTTCCAAAAGTGAGTATTGGACGTCCCCTCCCCCCAGGAAGCCCTTCTCCCAGTCTGGCTGGGCAGGTTGTGGGGGTGCCTGGCACTCAGCTCTTCTCCTCTCTCCTGTCCCTGCAGAATTCTCCTAACAACATAAGTGGCATTAGCAACCCTCCAGGCACCCCTCGAGACGACGGCGAGCTAGGAGGGAACTTCCTCCACTCCTTTCAGAACGACAATGTAAGTGTACCTCTTGCCACCCTCATTGCATCCCCGGACCGTCTTCTGGTCCCCCGAGGTCTGGGGACTGTTCACTGAACAAGTTTCAGAGAGAGCCTCCTGGCCAGGACCTGCCTCTGGGCCTGTGTCCTCGACAGTGGCCTCTCACCTGGGGGATTTTCCCACACACACAGCAGAGCCCTCACCTTCGTCCCTGCTGTGCAACCTCGGCCACTGCCCCCTGACCTCGACTACCAGCAGGCCCTTCCAGAGACATCTCTGTGCGGGCACAATGCCTTGGGCACTGATGAAGCTGATGTGGCTTGAAAAGCCTTGGGCTGGGACTCCGGAGGCCCACCGGGTCATTACCCCTGGGGTCTGTTTCCACGTGTGCTGGGGGCGGGGGGGGGGGGGGCGCAAACAGTGATTTCCTGGGGTCTCACCACGGAGGGGCAGGCCATCTGCTTTTCCACATTGGGCTCCTGTTTACAATCCCGCCTGAAGGAACAGCCTCGTGGTTAAGCAGGCAGTGGGGGCAGAGGTTGGTGCTGCTTGAACTGGAAAGGGGTGATTTGTAGAGGGAAAGTGGGGGATGACTCTGCCTCCCAGAGTTCCTGACGGGGCACAGACTGGGGCTGGAAGGTGCCTCCTGGCCCTGCTGGGCCCCCTGCCCAGCCATTGCCACCCAGGTTCCGCCCAGCCAGGCCCCCAGACTGGTCCCGACCACCTCCGTTTAAGGAGACCTTTCCATGGCTCCTTCTTCCTGGCCCTCACGACCCCCCTTCTCTGCTTCTCCCCTTCCAGTATTCTCCAAGCATGACGATGAGTGTGTGATCCCCCTCCTCTTCTCCGAAATGCTGAGAGAGCCGGCATTGCAGGCGGGAAGATGCCAGAAATTATGCAAGAAGAAGTGAGGTGTCATTACCCAGGAGCTGGGGGAGGGGCATCTCCCTGCTCCCCCTCCACCCCCTCCCTTTTTTCCACTCCCCCCACTCTTCCCAATTTTAGTTCATGCAATAAAGAGGCGGAACTTTTTATTCCATAAAACATGAAGGACAAAACTCAAAAATATATTTCAGGTCGATGGCCAGAACAGTCCTGTCCCTTGCCCTTTCCCAGAAGGACCTTTTATGTACATGACACTTTTTTTTGTTGTTTTTTGTTTGGGGTTTTGCCGCTGTTGGGATTTTTTAATTTGTTTTCGGGGTGGGGCTTTGGGGGAGAAATTTTTTTAAAAGGAAGCTTCTAGCAAGCCCCCATACCCCAATCAACCTCTGCTTTCTTCTTTAAAAAAAAAAAAAAAAGGGAAAAAAAGGACAAAAAAACCCAAGCCCTGTGTTTGTGCCCAAGCTCCCCCGCAGGAGAGCTGGTCTAGGTGTGAGAGCGCACGCTGTCTTTGTAGCCACCTAAAATGATGATGATAATAAACTGGGCAGTTTATAATCGGTCGTTTCTTTCGAAAGGCCTTCTTTGGAAAGGAAAGGAAGTCACCCTTTTCCACTTGGGGTTTTTGGCTTGTGCGGATGGGCAAGGGAGGGGCGGGGCCTTTTTTATTTTGTTTTTTTGCTTAGTTTCCCCTGGCCAAGGTGGTGACAGCAGCCGCACCACTCGGACCCGAGTTCCCCCCACCCCCATTACATAGCTGGAGGGGCCAGGCCATCCGAAGGCTCTCGCCTCCACCAGGGTGGAGACTCAAGTCACTGCAACCCCAGCCCAGCGGCACGCACTGCTTCCCAGGACGGTGTCCTCCAGTCCCCTGGACTGCCCCGCCCCCCTGCGCCCTCCTGGGGCCCCGCCCCAGCCTTTCCAGAGGATCCTGCCAGCTGCTGGTGGCCTGGAGCCCAGTAGGGGAGGCCACCTGCGGCAGGATGGCTGTGACCTGAGACGTGGAACCTGTGACCTCCGCGTCCTGGTCCCCATGGCCCTCGCATTGTCCTCGTGTGTGCTGGCATGTAGGGTTGGAGTTTGCGGGAGGGGTTTGGGTTTTTTTTTTTTTTAACTTCTCTTGATTCTTCCTCCTTTTTCAAAGACGAGATATTGACCCGAATTGCTCTGCATATGCTTGGAACTGGATGGAAAGACTTCGGAATTGCTGTGGGGGGTGGGGGGGCACCAACCACCAAACAGACGTGCTGTTTCCGGTCCTGTTTTTATTTTCAAAAACCGACACGCAACAGTGGAGCCTGTCTCCTCCCAGGAGGGGTGACTCGCTTCCCTCACCTCAGCACCCCCCATGGAAACCTCTGTGTCTTGCCCCGAGACAACCGAATTCTTTGTACATTTACTCCCTCCTCCCTGCCCCCTCCCCCGTAGCTGGTCTTTGTTTGTCCCCCTTTCTGCTCCGTGTATATCATATTATGTGAGATATCATCTGCCTGAAAAAAGACCTTGTGCGGATTATTGGGAACATTGTAGCTGTTTCTGTGTTTTTTCTTACCTTGTAGTCTGGTTCTGAATTAAGAGAGGAAAAAAATAATTATGATACATTGTAGTTTGTGTACGATATATGTCGATAACGTTTTATTAAAGGGACATCTTTTTTCCGCAGCCCTTCCTGACATGTTTGGGGGGAACTTGGGTGGGAGTTTGTTACACTGACGACACAATGCAAGGCGACGGTTTGGGTGCAGAGTTTTTGTTCCTGGAGCATCAAGTTTTGTTTCTTGTTCAAGGCGTCTGCCTTCTTTTCCCTGAGCATGCTAATTCTGCATTTTCTGCGGAGGGCTGCAGTGGCCTTTGGGAAAGGTGAGTTGGGGGAAGACATCAGTCTGGCTTAAAGTATTTGGGGGCGTCCTGAAAGCCAGTTTTGGTTTCCTCTTCTGCAAGCACAGTTTGGCTTGCCAGCAGGCATTTTTCTGGAAGTACAGAAAGGTTCCCGGGGGGCCTGTGTTTTCCGAGGCGAGCCTGTCAGTGAGGATGCCCCGCATGCTGCTGCCGCCCCTGCTCTCCCCCTTCCGTAGAGTTTGTTCCACTGACCCTAGGGGGCCGGGCTACCAGGAGGTTGCTTTTTTCTTTTTTCTTTTTCTTTTTTTTTTTTTTTAACCTCAAAGGCAAGGGGGAGCTCTTGAGACAGTTTGATAGGAGTTTAGAGAACCTGTATAAGCAGCATCCTTGAAGGTGGCTGGGTGGGCTGGAAACGTGGTGACCCGGCCACAGCCGTCACCTAGGCAAGAAGTACTGAGAGCTGGGGCGGGGTGGAGGTCAGCTGCGGCGGATACCGACTTGGACTTAGAAAGTAGGACTCCGTTTCCGGGGGCCTCATTCCAGGCCTGCAGCAGGAGGGGAGCACAGGGGGCTCAGCCCGCCTCCACAAGACCTGAGGGAACAGACAGCAAATTGCCGGTTTCAGACCCTGCCTTTGCCACTGCTGTGCAGTCACGGGCAAATTATTTTCTACCACTGTGTTTGGTCTTCTCATCTGTGAAGTGGGATGATGGTTTGCCTACCTCGTGAGGTGGTTGTAAGGGTAACTTACCGTGTGTTAAGTGTTCAGAGCAATGCCTTGCACGAAGTAACAGCAGCAGTGTTTGCTGTCAGTGGTGTTGGCTCCTTTGGGGGTAGTCAGTCCAGTGGGTGGGGTGGGAAGCAGTTGGAAGGGCCTGGAAGAGCCACTTTGCACCGTCCCTCATCATAGTCCGGGTTTCTGGGCTGTTCCTCGGCACAGCGTGGCACCTGCGACCTGCTGGGAGGATGTCACTGAGGGCCCAGTGAGGAGACGTCAGCTCTGAGGAGGCGTCTGTGCACGTGCCAGCCCAGTGCTGGAAGGAGCAGGCAGCGAGGATAGGCGAGTGTCCCGCAGCACCCTGGCTGCCACCTGTGCTCCCAGAGCAGCACTCGGGACAGGAGCGAAGGTGTGGGGCCTCAGCTGGAAAGGAGCCCAGGGTACCGGGGAGGGAGGACAGCGGTGACAAGCGCCTACTGCCGTGTGCCTCACTGCCCACCCACCTCTGCAGGGGCTGCGAACACCCGGTGCCCTTCCCCCAACCCTCAGCCTGTGCCTGCCAGCATCCCCTGTATGTTCCTGGCCCCAGTGAGGGCTGTCAGGGTGGGCCTTACCACCAGGGGCAGATCTTTGGGGAGAGGACTGGCTCAGAAAATACTTCCACTGCCCTGCCCAGGCCTGATCCAGGCCCTACAGCCAGGATTTGGATTGCTGAGCAAGGGGCAGCAGAGAGGGGGCTCCGGCCCACCCCCGACACTCAGGCAGGCGTGGAGGCCCAGGCCCGAGGCCCAAGCACAGCAGCTGCTCTCCTGCTCGAGTCATCGCTGCCCATGAAGTCTGCTTCCAGGGGCCAGCCAGCCTAGGGGTCCAGAGTGAGGCCTGGGCCCGAGTCAGAAAAAGTGGCCTGGCTAGAGACTCACGCCTTCTCTCTCTGGCTGGGCACCCCTCCCTGGGGCCAGACAAGGAAGCCCTTGAGGCAAACCAGCTGACGTGCACAGGGGGTCGGGGGCACAAGATGTGGGTGCAGAGCTGGAGCAGGACTCCAGTCTGGGCTCAGCTGGGGCTGGTGCTCTTCAGCTTGATGTGCTGAGGGGCTCCCGGTGTGGCCTCTGCTGTCCCATGCAGATTCCCCAGGCTCCAGGGGCTGAGCCTGGAGCACATCCTGGGCTTCTTGAGGTCCTGCCCTGAAATGAGTGGAGTTGGGGCTCCCCTGGGCTGGGCAGGGGAGGAGGAGGGGTGATAGTTGGATGTGACCTGCTCTGCTCTGCTCTGCCCTGGGCTCGTTGGACATTGTCACCAGGAGTACCTGAAACAAGACCAGGCCGAGGTGTGGGATGCTGAAAGTTAGAGGGTCTATTTTGTCCGGTGCTAGTGCAGAGATCTCTATTCCCAGGTGCCTGTGAAGGGCCCAGTCAAGTTCGGCACCTAGTAACCTGGGCATTCAGCCACCTCCTTGGTTTTCTGCCTGCATCTCAGCCCTTCCACTGCCACAGAGATTTCACTCACTTCTGAGCATCCTTACACTCTTCCATTCGTCCACTCATTCATGAATTCACCAAGCACCTGTTATGTGCCAGGGACTATCCCGGCTGTAGGGTTACAGCAGTGAACAAAACACACAGGAGGATGGAGCTGCCCCTCACTGAGGTGGGGCAGGCTGCGAGACAAGCAGGCTGAGGTGACGCTCTGTTTTGGCAAGTTAAATTTGAGGTGCTTGTGTGAAAGCCATCCAGGTGGAGGTGTCAAATAGGCAGTCTTAGACACACACCTTGGGAGCTGGCATTTGGAAGGTTCTTAAGCCACGAGCTTGGCAGACATCATCTGGAGAGGGAATGGACAAGCGCCCAAGGACTCAGCGATGAGAGAGGTGGGAATTGGGAACCAGCAAAGAAGACAGAGAAATGAGTAGGATAGCGAGGTGCCCTGGAGACCATGTGAGGGAAACCGCAGGGAGCAGAGGGCCAAGTGCTGCCCAGAGGCCCCAGATGGCCAGCCTGTGGTGCCCAGGGACACGGTCTGCAGTCACTTCACTCAGGTGCTGCCTGGCCAGGCCCTGCAGGCCCCTGCTGCCCTGGCTTGCCTCTCGGCCGTTCATGTTCCAGCCACATAGAACGATTTACGGATTATTGCCACTGGGGCCTTTGTTCTTGCTGTTCCATCTTGGCACGCCCTTCCTGCTTGCCCTTTAGAAGCCAGCTCAAATGGCCCCTCTTTCAGGAAGTCGTCTAGGTGAGTCAGAGGCTCTCTCTGGGCCCTCTTGGCCCTGTACTGTGTTGGCTCAGAGTCTACCTCCCCTGTCAGGCTGGAAGCCCCTCCAAGCCAGGACCATGTGTGAGTGTCCTTTGTCCCCAGGACCACCCAGCATGTGCTCAGTGAGTATTTGGGGGAGGAACTGGGTGTCTGCTGAGCAGTGGGCCTGCACCCCTCCCCACTGCTGCTATCAGCCGAAGGTTGGTGCTCAGGTGCGCGGAGAGGTGGCCTTTATGGCTGCCTGCATCTGCAGGTCCAGAGGAAAGTGGCTGCTCTCTGTCTACCAGCCACCGGGAGCTCCCGTCTCATTCTGCATCTCACTCCCAGTGCAAGCCTCGCACACGGTAGGCACTTGTAAAATGGGCTGAACTGTTGGACTAGCCCTGGAGGTCGTCTGTAGTGGGTCACCCAGAGCTCAACCTCCGGTCCCGACCTGGTTGGGTCCCATAGTGGCCCAGCTGGGTTTCAGGAGACCTGTGGGGCCCGTGTGTTGTGGGGAGGGTGGCAAAAAACTGGGAGAAGCCGTGCTGCTCCTGACAGGCTGGGCTCTTGCCTGGGCAGCAAGCCCACGCCCTGGATGCAGCAGGCCTGGGCGTGGGGAGATGAGGCCTGGGCTGTCTGGCACGGGCTAGAGTGGGGATCCCAGGTGGCAACAACCACAGCAGTGTCCAGGACGCGGGAGGGGCTGGCCTCACTCCACCTTGCTGTACCCAGCCCTGTGCCTCCCGGCCCCACCACTTTGCCTAATTGGGGACAGCTGCAAAGGGTCACCCACCTCCAAACTTTCAGTAGGATCAGCTGAGGCCTCACTCCTCCCCCTGCCCAGGGGCATGCTCCTCCCTCCTCTCATGCTTCCAGGTCTTTGGAAAGCACTCCCCAAAACCTGCCACACCCTCCTCAGCCTGTTCTGGGGAGCCCTGTCAAAGACACCCTGTTTCCCTTCTTTCTCCACCATCTTCCTGAGGGAGAATGTGAACGTGGAGAGAGCAGGGGCCCTACTCTGTTCACTGCTCTCTACCCCGGGCCCTGGGCCCACCTGCCACACACTAGATGCTCTCGGACACTCGCGGGATGAGTGAACCCTCGCCTGAGAACTTACTCAGGTGAGGTCGCTTTAAAAGGCTGGTCTTCCAGCAGCCGAGCAGGTGGGCCCCATGTTTCCTGGTGACTTGTGTGTTCATGCCAAAGGGAGGACAGTCTGAGACACTCAGGTCACAGGCAGGCTCTAAGGGACTTTCTCCCACCACAAAAGAGGAAGCAGAGTCTCTGTTAGCCCGAGGTGCTCCTGGTCTTTGCCAGCCTTGGGCTTGCAGCTGAGGGACAGAGCTCAGCGAGTCACGGAGCCTGTCTGCCCCTCCGGCCCTGGGTGCAGCGGAGCCAGGCTTGGGAGACGCCAGAGCAGCCTGCAGGGGGAGGCCCGCCTTGTCACCGGCTTCTGAAGGGCTCTGGCTCCGGCGATGAGAACTTCCTGGTCAGATGCAGCTCAGTCATCTGAAAGTGGGGAGAACCGGGAAGGGAGGTGCTTGTCCCGTTTTGCAGAAGAGGAGAGTGGAGGCGCTGAGAGGAAGGCTGGGACACAGCAGGCTTGGAAACGGCTCCCCCACGCAGGACTGTAGCTCCCTTGCCGCTGCTGGAAATGAAGTGAGGACGCTTCCTGTGGCCCAACCAGATGCCAGTCTGACCACACAAGAGGACGTCCTCGTCTGTTCGCAGGGCCAGTGTCAGAATTTTGGTTCCAGAAGTCTGTTGCTCACAAGTCCAAGTCCCTGTAAGTGGGTTTTTATGCCAGTAGTATGCCCTCGCCCCTTCCTCCCCCAGATTCACTGACTAGGTAAGCAGTCTGTTCTCAGGCCATAACCCCACCCAGGGCCTCGGAAATCAGTGCTCGAGGAGGAGAGGAATGTAAGAAAGTGGTGACGAGGAAGGAAGTGGGTGTGTGGGATCTCGAGAGGTGGGCACGTGTCTGTGGAGGGGGCAGCTGTTGTCACTTAGGAGCTTTCTGGCTACACCAGCTGGCCTGGGCCTCAGCTTCCTTACCTGTGTGGGAAAGGTAACAGCCACCAGTCCCGCCAGCTCCACCTTGCAAATCAGCTGCAAGGGGCCTAAAGTGAGGGTGCAGTGGGCGCCCGACCCCGCAGCTTAGCTCCCAAGAGCACACACTACGACCAGCCGTTCGGGCTGAGCCGGGGGCATGCTGCTCAGGCCCATGCTGCGACAGTGGCCCCCTTCCCGGGCAGCCCTCAAGCTGCAAGGTCATCTCATCGCTGACTGTCCACTTCCTGTAGCCTCTGTCCCAGCCTTCAAGACCCAGGCTTACTTCCCTTTCACTCCTCTTCCTGCCACCAGTCTCCAAGGGCTACGGCCTACTCAGCCGTGAGACGTCACCATCCCTCAGCCACATCCCACAATGGGCCCCAGCTGGGCTCCTACGGTCGCCCTGCCAGCTCGTCCTCCACACAGGACCAGGGGGTGTATTGTTTTTTTATGAATCCCTTTGACTCAGCAGTTCTGCTAGGAATTCATCCAATGGCTATGCTGGCAAAAGCACTGGAAGATACTCAAAAGGATGCTCGTTGCAGCATCATTTGTAGTAGCTAACGACGGAAAATAACCTGAATGTCCAGGGGCAGATATTAGTGCAGCGCTCAGAAGAACAGGGCCTCCTGTGTGCTGACGTGGCAAGATCCTGCGAGCCTAAGGTGTTATGTGGAGAAGGAAGACGCAGGCCCCGTCTGAGTAGCTTACTTGGTTCGAGTGTCATCCCCACTCGCCGAGGTTGCAGGTTCAATACCTGTCAGGGCACATATAAGAATCAACCATTGAATGCATCAATAAGTGGGCCAACAAAATCGGTACTTCTCTCTCTAGAGTCAATAAATAATTTTAAAAAGGGTGTAGCTCTGGCTGGTGTGGCTCAGTGGATTGAGTGCCAGCCTATGAACCAAAGGGTCACTGATTCCATTCCCAGTCAGGGCACACGCCTGGGTTGTGGGTCAGGTAGCCAGTAGAGGCATGCGAGAGGCAACCACACACTGATGTTTCTCTCCCTCTCTCCTTCCTTTCTCCTCTGTCTAAACATAAAGGGTGTGGAACAATCTATAGATGACACTATGCACGTGTATGTTACTATACATGCACACTCTAATGGTTCCACGTAAGAAAACTCCAAGCCTGGTGACCCTTAGGGAAAAGGACTAAAGGCTGCCTTGGTCCTTCCCTTTTATAGCATACTTTTGAGTTCTTTAAAACTGTACCATTTTTATGTAGTAATTATCTCTGAAATGCAAAGTAAAATGGCAACAGGGCTCAGTGAGCCCCCCTGCCCCAGGCCACCTGCCATGGGAAGCCCGGGTGCTTGGCATTCAAGGCCCCTTGGAAGTTGGCAACTCCAGCCTCCCTGCTTCCCCAGAATGCTCTGTGACTCCCTGCTTTCGCACGCCATGTGGTCTCTCCCCAGGAACCACCCCCCTACCCTAACCAGTGTGATCTTTTTGCTGGTAATCCCTCCTGCCGCCCCACCCCTGTCCCTGCCAAGCCAAAATGTGGAAAGAACATGAGCCTGGGGGTCAGAGACACACGGGCCGCATGCACTCCCCTGCCATGACTCCTGTGGTGGGTGCGGCACGTGCCCCACGCCTTCCAAGAGGAGCCCCGGCAGCAGGAATGCCCACACCAAACCACCCTCAGCCCGGCCCCTCTGGGAATTCCACTCGGCCCAGTGAAGCCACCTGGCCTGAGGGCTCTGGCTCTGGGGAGCAGTGTACACCCAGTGACTGGTGGCGGGCCAACGGTGTCTTTAGAAAGGCTTGGCCCCTCACCTTGGGGGCCCACTGTCCTCCAGAGCCCCCGCAGAACTGGGCACACCCACTGAGCTCAGTCTCTCCACCGCCCAGGGTCGCCGTCACTCTCCACAGGTGCTGGTCAAGGCTTTCCCCAGACGTTCACCTGCCAATCGCCATCTAAGTGCTTCCTGGGGAAGCTGACCTAAAGCACCAGCTGTGTGACCTTGGACATCTCCCTCACACTGTCTGTGTTTCCTCGTCGGGGCCCAGAAAGTACCTAACACACAATGCAGCACTCTGCATTTCTCTGGAACAGGGAGATGACATTGACCTTGCAAGGGTGTGTGCGGATTCAGCAAGAGGCTGTGTATAGGTGCCTGGCTGGAGTAGGCTCCATGTTACCAGAATAGACACCGGCTGGACATGGATGTACTGACCCATCCACCAGGACACCAGTGAGGAATCTATTGGGTTGGCCAAAAGGACCATTCGGTTTTTTTCATATAGTAAGACACATTTTCACTGGTAACTATTGATTTGGATATTTTGAGTATGTCAGCTCTCTCTCATGTGGTAGAACACTGATTGTTCTCAGTGTGTCGATTTGATTGGCATCCACTTCAACTGGTCTGCCTGACCATGAAGCATTGTCCAGCGAGAAATCTCCAGCACAAAACTTCGCAAACCACTTCTGACACATTCGGTCAGTCACAGCAGCGTCTCCACACACGGCACAAATGGTTTCTTTTGCATTTCAGTCGCATTTTTACCTTTCTTGAAATAATAGAGCACAATACACCACAAACGTTGCACAATTTCTTTCATCTTCACTATTAAAATGGCTACACAAAAATTCACCAATTTTGGTTTTTTTTAGATGCACTGATAGGACAGCTGTCACAATACAATCTAACAACATTTTTTCAAATGAAGTTAAAGACGACAAAATGCTACTACAGCCATCTTACGGAAGAAACCAAATGAACTTTTTGGCCAACCCAACACAGCAAACACTCTATGCAGACACTACATATACATAAGCTAGAGTCTTCAAACCAAGGCAGGCCACATTATTATGCCCTAAGTTTCAGGCAAGTAAACTGAAACTCAGAGAAAGATTCTTGTCTAAAGTCACAAAACGGGTTGTGGGCAGAGCTGGGACAGCCCAGGTGGCAGGGCCCGCACTTGTACGGGGCAGGCGCACGGCGTGGGCCCACGAGTCACCGTGGGCCCCTCCGGACAGCACCAAACATAGGCTCCAGGGCGCTGGAAGTACTCTTTATTGTCACTGAGCCCAGTGGGCCACAACAGCACTACGGCCCCAGGCAGGCCCAGAACCGGCCGGGAACTGCCCAGGATGCAGGATCTTCAGTAAGGGGGGCCGAGGGCTTCAGGCCTCGGAAGGCTCCTTGGCTCCCACAGCGCCGTGCAAATACAGAGCTAAAAACTTCTTGAACGTCTCTGGCTGGAAACCAGTCGGCCCTACAGGTTCCTGGAAAGAACACAACCCATTAGGATCCTGCTACCAGGCTTAATGGCAGCAATTAAAACAAAGGTGGTTTTATGTAAATCCCAAGTACCTGGATAATAACCCTTTCTTTCTCCCCCAGACCAAGGAGGGGCCCGGGAGAGCTGGCACCACCCAGACGCCAGAGGGGCTGGGCTGGGAGGGAGAGGACAGGAAGCACTCCTAGCTCCTGTCAGCCGGTCTGTTGACAATGACCTGCCCCAGTTCCCTCTGACTCCAACGCCACAAACAAATGGTCTGTTGCTCCTTTTCACCTCCAGGCACCGTAAGTCCCCACTCCTCCCTCATACTCTTACCAGGCACCTCTCCGTACCGGGCCTGCGCCCAGGGCTGGGAACCCTGAGTGACGTGAACCTGGCTCCTGCCCTCAAGGAGCATCCAGCTAGGTGTTCCAATGAAAACAGTAAAAGGTGACAGGCCTCATAACAGAACTAGGAAAAAGATGCTGAGAAAAACGGGAGAAAATGACTAACTCACTGACTTTGATCCACGGAAACGACCATGTATGAGTCTTTTTTTTTTTCGACTGAGTCTTAAAGGGCAAGTAGAATGGGGCAGAAAGAGAAAGGAAAGGAAGGAGACCTCAGACAGACCAGCAGGGAACCTGGTACTGAGGCACCTATGAAGGCAGGAAGGGCACGAAGACTGATGCCAGTTGGGGGCAGGGGGGTGGGGTGGGGTGGGGGATGAGGAGCTGACCGCACCAGGACGGCCTGGCGCTAAGTGTTCAGGAAGAGAGAAGTTGAGGGAAGAGGGGAGATGTGCCGGGAGAAGGGGAGCATGACTCAGAGCGGAGACCCGTGGAGGTGGCCGGCGTGGCTGTGCAGGGCGACACAGTGGTGTGTGGGGCGGAGAAGGGCCCGGGCCCAGGAGGCATCTCGAGGGTAGAAACAACACTGACAGATGCTGGAGAACTGACTCCACAGCTGGCATGCTGACAATGTTCATCTAGCAAACCCACTGAGGCTCTGCGTGTGGGGCATGGGACACAGGTGGTCGGAGCCCGAAGCACCCCGTCTCTCCCATCCCCCAGCCCTGCGTTACGTCCCCTCAGAATGCCCGACACTACTCTGCAGATGGACTTCGCTGCTGCTGCTGCCCTTGCACAGGGAGCAGGCCTGCGCTCGTCAGGTGGGCCTCGGGGTGACATGCCATGGGAGGGGCTCCCCGTCTGTGGGATGAAATGAAGGATGCATCGCTCATGGGCCCTGCCTTCCAGGATCATGGAGTTCCATTTGATGGAGGGGAAAAACATGTAAACAGATGACTGCAGAACAGCAATGTGATCGAGTGGCATGTGGGAATACAGGGGCAATGGGAGGGGGCTGGTGGGTCCCAACGCTAAACCTGGAAGGACAAGTGGAGGATGGCCAGGCGGCAGGGAAACGGGGGTGGGGGGCTGCTGGGGAGAAGCCTCCTATGCAGCACCCACTAAGATCCTGAGCTCCCTAAGTGCTGGGCACACTGGAGAGCTGTGAGGAAGAGCTGGGCAGGGCCCAGTGTGGGGAGCGTTGTTTAGGTGATGGCAGGGCTGAAGGAGTCCTGCAGTCGGAGGTCCTGGGCACGCAGCTCCTAAAGCCAGGGCCCCACGCGAGGGCATCCCCTTCGCCCCACCCCTGCTCTCCCTGGGTAGGATGAGTCGTGGCCCTGCTCCAGTCACAGGCAGGAGACGGCTGGACTTACCACAACCACCTTCTTTTTGATCACTGGGAGACACCAAAAATGCTGGTAGAGGAGCTGGTCTGAGTCCACCCACACCAGATTCTTGACACCCTCGTTGGAGGCCAGATCTGTGGTGTTCAGCTGCAACACCAGGAACTGGAAGACACGCCCATCGGTGCCCACACACTGCACGACTACGGGCTGCTCCAGCACCTTGGTGTCGTTCTGGGAGGAAAAGGGGCAAGTAAATAACACGCGAAACTGGGTGTGCGGAACAGCACAGACAAGGCAGCTTCTAGTTCTGGCCTTGGCAACAGTGCCTGCTCCCGTCTACTTGTTTTACCACCAGAAGATGAAACAGGAGTTTGGGGTGCCGACCAGGGCCAGGCCCCCTGCCCTCTCCCAGCCTGGCTCTGCCTGCCTGATGCCTCATGGCCCCAGGGTGCCTGCTCTTTAAGTTGAGCACATCGAAGTAATGATTCCTGCCACTGAGAGGTGACTGCTGGGCAAGTAGCACAGGTCAGGAAGGTGAGCTGGGAGGTTAACGACAGGAAGTCCCTCACACTCTTGGCGTCACCTAATGGCGACAACAGTGACATCAGCACTCTCAGTGGTGGGCCTGGAGGGCCAGTGGACATCTATAATCCCCTTCGGTTATTCCACTGGACAGATGAGCAAACAGATCCAGTGAGGCAAGTGGCCTGTCTGGAGTCACCGACCTGTGGCATCAGAACCCAGACCGCTCACTTTCCACACCCGCCTGCGCCCAGGGGCTGGGCACCCAGAGGCGGGCAGCGGTCTCATTGGGGCTTCGTGCCGTCAGCGCGGCGCTGCGAACAGGCCGGACTCCTGGGGTGGTCCAGCCCCCACGTCCGCTTCAGGATTCCACCAGTCAACCCACGTGCGAGCTCTCTTTCAATTAGCGCCACTTGGTAATAATAACTGCACTGACCACCATTTACTGAGGGCCTTTCCTGTGCCAGGCATTGTGCCAGTTTTACATAAAATCACTCCGAATCTCATAAATCTAGTGGTGCATTCCCACTTAACGGACGAGAAAGCAGGTTCAGAGGGTGGCATAATTGCTCCAGGTTAGCCACGAGGTGTGAGCCAGACCTCACACTCTTAAATCACTTAAGACACTACTGCTCCGGTCCACACCTGGTGTCCCATGCTATCCAATAACAGCACCTCTCTTCCCGCTCAGCGGTGTCCCCGTACGGGTGACAAATCAGATGTCCGCCCTACTGAGACCTTGCAGCAACCCAGTTCCAGGACCGCGGGACCGCACCCCCTGGACAGAGACCTGCAGGCCAGCCGCACGAGGCACGGTATCCTCGACTTGAAAACGCCACCTCCGTTCCCCCGCCAGGGCCGCACCCAGCGTTAGGAGCAGCTAGCGTCAGGCCTCGGTGTGGGCTGCACCGGGACCACTGGCCTTAGAAATACCTGTTCTTAGCTGCATGTGAAATAAATAAAAAGAAAAGTACCTCTAAGTGTTAGCTGAGAATTTTGTATTGACTCTTATCTCCCTCTACAGATCAATAAAGCTGCGGGTAGTACATAAATTTCTCAGCAATTTTACCTTTTACACAGAGGCTCTTCCCATAATTGCTCAACTTCACAGCCCCAGGAATAATCTGTACCTGGAGGGGCTGGGGAGGCCTCCTTCTACCCACCCGGGTAGCAATTAGTGGCAGCGCTGCTACCTGCGCGCTGCTGGCCCAGAAGTGAGGATGAGCCTGCAGGCCCAGAACGCGGCACATGACGATCCCCATCGCCTCCCCTGCCCCAGAGACCGGAGGTAGCATGTCCTTCGAAGCTGGGCAAGCCAGAGCTTTAAGGCTGGCCAATTCGCTCATTAGCTGGGGCTCTTGGGCAGGTCAGTGAGCCTTCCAGAGCCTTTAGGAAATATATAGAGAATGGAAACAAAGAGAACCTTCCAAGGACTGGAAAGACACAAGAAGTCATGTGAAGGTGCGACAGCTGCAAATCCCTTAGCTGTGTCACCTTGGGCAGTTACTTCACCTCCCTGAGCCTCAATGTCCTCATCTGCGAAATGAAGCTACTGGCACCTGCCACGGGTGTTGCTGCGAGGATTCGATGATGCAGTGGTTCCCAAGTGTCAGTGTGGCGGTTCCAAACCTGGGCTTGCACCGGCATCCCCAGAGGGCCATCCCACACTGACTGCCAGCCACCCCCAGTTTCTGACGCAGTAGGCGCAGGGTGGGTCTGGGCACCTGCACTTCAGACAACTTCTCAGTTGATGCTGATGCCGCCAATCCAGGACCATATTTTGAGGACCACCCTAATTCAATGTCTGGCAGGTAGCAGATATTCAGTACAGGCAAACTCCATGAGTCTCACATCTCATTTGGCTAACCACCTCCCCAGCCCCACCTAGTTCCAGGCAGAGTGGGACGGGCAACAGGACATGTGGAATTCACTCCCTCCCGCCCGCAGAAGGGCCTTAGGCTCTAACCTGGCAGCAGTTCCCAGAACCTCTCCCCTACCCCTACTCCCAGAGAGGCTTCCCCCAGTCCTGTGACAGCTCTGTATGACACCCCTCAGCCTGCATCCTATACCATCTGAGGCCCCCGAGGCCCCCTCAGAATCAAGGGGCTCCCACCAAGGGGTACCTCGGGTCCCCAGAACCTGTCCTGATTAAGCAGACAGGTCTGGCCCTCTCCTGCTCCAGGTCTCCTGCCTGCCCAGTGGAGCCTGGTGCTCCGGTTCAGACACTACAGCACAAAGCGGTATGCTGCAGACAGACTACCGAAGCCTTGGCAGCTGGGCGTGCCTGGCTCCTGAACTCTCTTTACTCCTTACTGCTGTGCAACGCTGCAGAAGCGGCTCGGCCTCCCTGCGACTCAGCGGCATGATGCAAAGACTGGGGGTCCCAGTGGAACTGCGTGGGCTACTGTGGTCAACAACGGAGGCCCTGGGGCACGGCAGCTCCCTCTGCAGGTGAGTGCGGCGCCTCTCCCTGAAACTCCTCAGGAGAGCAAGGGATCCTCCCTGCCCCTTTCTTTCTCTGAGCAGTGTAAGGCAGGAGACCACCATGAGGACTGCAGCTCAGGGGTCTCCTCCACATACGTACCCCGTAGAGGAGCCGGGCCTGAGTCAGGGCACTGCCGAAGGCAAACATGATCATCTTGGCCCTCAGCTGGTCTGGCGGAAAGCGGTAAGATCGTACATTGGCTGCCTCCAGCAAAAACAGGGTGTGCGCACAGGGGTACGGATAGCCCTCCTGGAATCCTGTAAGATACAGAGCCATGAGGAGGGCAGAAAGATGAACGAGCCTGCCCCAAAGCCTTGGGAGAGTCGCCTCACCTGAGCTCAGGGGCAGGCACCACCCAGACTCAGTAAAGGCAGACACTGTCATTCCAGCTCAGGGGCTGGCAAACTTCAGCCGGCCGGCCAAGCCTGGCCCCGACCTGTTTCTGAAAATAAAGTCTTTTACCAGAGCACACCTCTGTCCATTCACTCCCTGACATACTGTCCACTAGGTAGCTGTGGCAGAGGCCATACGTAGCCTGCAAAACCTAAAACGTTCACTACGTGGCTCTTCACAGAAAATGTGTGCCGCCCTGTTACAGGAGATCCTTGCATGAATCTACCTCCACCCCTTTCTCGCTCATTCAAGCACATGGGTGACAGTGACATTAGCAGAAAGATAACCTGAAACCTATGGTAGTAACATTTTTAAAAAAGCAAATCATTTGCAAAATTCAGTACTTTCATTGGTAACAAATGACTTGCTTCATACCTCACAATTATGGGCACAGCACTGGTGTTGAGAACCCAATTCTGGCACTTGCTTGTCTCAGCCATAACCCTGCTGATCACTGTTCTCCTCCCCTGCACGACTCTGGGTGCACCCTTGGCAGGCTGGGGGCTTCTAGAATAAGTAGCCTGGACCAGTGCAAGTGGGTGAAGAGGAGGGAGAAAGAGGCTGGGACGACGTGGCTCTGGAAACCCCAGAGAAGAGCACTACCTAGGAGAGACACGGCTTTCCCACCTGCCTCGGTCCTTGCTCGGTCCCTCAGCACATGCAGACACCCGGCACTCGGCACCCACTCTGTGCCAGGCTCTACGAGACGTACCAGAACAGAGCCGAGCAGAACCGGCCACTGCCTTTGAGGAACTCAAAGTTCAGAGGGGAAGGCAGACAGGAAAACTGATCACAGCCACATAGAGGGGCATGCCAAGATACGAGGGGGCTGTGCAAGGAAAGGTACAAGTCCTTGAGGAGCCTGGACAGCCCCAGGGCATCCTGGGGAAGACGTGACTCCTACGACTAGTTGTGCAAAGTGGGCAGTTATCAAGCTGAAGACAAAACGAGGCGAATGCTCACAAGTCCCAGGCAGAGCAAAGAGAATGTGTCCAAGCACGACAGCGAGAGGGGGCACGGCGTGTTCAGTGCAGCAGGGACACGGGGGTGTATGAGGGGGCGAAGATGGGGCTGGAGAGGGGCAGAGGCCAGCTGAAGGCCCTCGTGGGATAAGCCAAGGAGTTCAAACTTTATCTGACCGAGAGGAGGCGGGCACGGAGACGGAATTACGTTTGTGTTGGAAAGGCTGGACTGCACACTGGAGGGACCGGAGGGACACAGCCGGGGCCACACTGACTGGCTGGGGGACGACGGCAATGGGTGAGTGAGAGGCAGTGGGCTCTGACCTCGGCCGCAGCTGCGGAAACAAAGAGAGGCTAAGGAAAACCACTGCAGCTCACAGTGACTGAGTGGCAGCAGGGACTGTGGGCCTGCCTAGCCCGACTCCCCGGTTTCTGTCTGGGCTGACTGTGTGGCGCCTTTTTTGATGGCATTTGGATGAATAGCCCCATTCAAGGCCTATGGGGCTTCCTCAGTCCTGCCAGGAGGTTGGCCGGCATTTACATGGTGCAGAGAAAGAGGGTGTTTTTCAGGGGACCTATTATGAATACAGGGAACATTTGGTCCTCAACAAAAACCTTGCACGCCACCCATGAAAACTCCGACGGACAGCGTTGCTTCTCAGGTGTCCAAAGCAAAGTTGGCATTTGAACAAACCATTCGAGCTCTCTGAGCCTCGGCTGCCTGGCCTATAAGACAGGGATAACAGTACCTGTCTCACAGGGCTGCTCCGTGTGTCTTAGAAGAAAACGCACGTGAGGTGCCTAGCGCACAGTAAGTACTCAGTATACCCCTCCCCCCGGGAAAAAGCACACCTCTCATCTCCACACTGCCTGAAAGTCAAAGGCTCCGCAGCGTACCTGTGTCGTCTTTTTCATCATAAACGTTGCACTCCTGAAGACCAATAGTGGGAGATATGGGATAGAAGGTCTCAAGAACGTGGTTCTGAGTAGCTTCAACTTCCTCTCTGGAGGCGATAGGGGGCAGAGGGTCCCTGGCATTCAGCCGGGATCCGCCGGAACCATGGACCTGCAGGAGGAGAGCCTCTGAAGGGCAGAGAGATGGTTAGTCTAACCTGGTCTAAAGCCTCATCTCAGCTCTGTCCTGCCAGGCTCACCTCTTACAGCTTTCGGGCTAATCACCCCGATCCCAGAGAACAAGCTTTGGTTTTGGCATTAACCCCAGGATTCTCGAGATGGAAACTGACCAATGCATTCTCCCTCCTGTGTTCTCTTCCCAGCAACCCCTGAGACCTGGTGGTTTCTGGGGTTTGGGGCTGCACCGCACAGATCATCCTAAGCCTGGCCCTACGCTGGGGACCACGAAATCAGAGTTATGCTCCGCTCTGAAGAAGCTCATCAGGTGGTAAGTACTACAACAGAAGTGTGAACTATACTCAGGGACAGCAGAGGTGGGAGACCTGACCCCCTCCAGGCCCGGGAAGCTTCCTGAAAGCAGCACTGCCTTCAAACCAGCTTCTCAAGGACAGTTAAGAGCAGACTTGCTCAACTTGGGCACTACTCACATTTTAGACCAGATCACTCTCTGGTGAGGGAGGCTCTCCTGTAGATGTCTGCGAGTCCCCTGACCTCTACCCCCTGGATGCCTGGAGAAGCCCCCGCCGACACACACACACCCACCCCCACTCCAACCTGGTTCAAGTCACGTCACAACCAAAGATGTCTCCAGACGTTGGGAAATCTCCCCTAGGCGGCCAAACTGCCCTTAGTTGAACACTGCTGGTAAGAGTTTGCCAGACAAAGAAAGGGAAGAAACAGCACTCCAGTGAAGAAGGAATAACATGCGCCAAGGCACAGAAGTGTGCTGCCCCGTGGCAGAGTTCAGGGGAATAAAGGCAGGTGACCAGGGTGCGGCAAGGCAGGAAGGAGAGATGGAGAGAGAGAACACTGAGGGTAGAGGCTCAGGGGAAAGGCTATTAAACCCAGGGAAAGGCCAGACTGCCCTCCACAACGGAGAGTGGAAAAGTCAGCCAGTTGGAACATCCCCCCTTCAGGCGGTTAGCGTGTCTGCTAAGGAGACACAGGTGTGTGAGGAAAAACACCTCACATCTGACTCATCGGCGAGCCTGCTGCTCTGACTGTGAATGCCCCTCATGGGGTCCCCGCAGGAGGCCACAGCCACCGCCAGGCAAAATGGAAAAACTCCTTGAGAATTCTCCACCGAGGCAAGTCTTCCTCTGGAGGTGCAGGTTTGGTTTTTTTAGAAATAGTCAAATAGCTGTGTAATGGTAATGGATCAAGAATGATAGGCTTATATATGGTGTGGCCATTAAAAACTGTCATTTAATTAGCACGCGGCCTCCCTTACTGAGTATATAAAAAAGGATAGCACATCTGTGGATGGATAAACTCTGACCCATTTGTTAAAATAAATTATACCCACACCTCGAGAATAGTTTTCTGAAGTATTTCCAGTTTCCTCACATATAATCTGCAAGGAAGATAAATGCGCCCGGACTGGCCCTAACCCTGGGTTTAGCCGCTCCCCACAGACCACTCCAGTGTGGTTTCCAGTTCCATCCCCTCCACGCCCCTCCTCCAGTGACAGCTCCAAATGGGGCAGTTTAATTAGAGGCAATCCTTGATGACGGGCCAACAAGCGTGCCTCTGGTAATGAGGTGCACTAATTTCCTTTGTGGGGCCATTACCTCTGCAAAGCTGACTCCTTGCCAGGAAGTCCATACTCGAAGGGGCAAGCTGGGGAAACCTGACCAAGTGGATGCCCTGAAAATCCCGCATTACTTCCCTGCTCCAGGTTCCTATGCATCAGGACACTCATGCACTCGGAACGTCCCTGCCCGAAACACCTGAAACCCAGTGCTCACTTCACTCCCCCATCCCTTCGGCCAGCACCTGTCAGGGATCAGGAACTATCAGACACCGTGAGCGGAGTTCGCAGTTCAGTGAGGCGGGCAGAAAACGTGCCAGGTAATCACAATGCAGCATGGTGTGTGCTGTGATACAAACATGAGCAGTGGGCATAAGGACTACAGAGGAGGAAGAGCCAGCCTGGGGGTTCACACAGGAAGGGGGCCTGAGTTGAGTGTTACAGGTAAGAATTTACTCAAATGAGGAAAGTAGAAAAGAGCCTTTCAGACAGAATGTACAGTATGTGCAAAGGTGTAAAAGCTTGATGCCAAAAAGCTGCAAGTGGCTAAAGTGTAAATTTGGGCATGGGGGAGGCATGACAGGCAGTTGAGCAGGAGACAAAACTGGAAAGACTAGGTGCTGGCCAATCACAGAGGGCCTTAGGTACCGATAAATGGTTTAAACTACTGAGAGACAGTGAACAATTTGAAAAAAGAGGGCCATAAGACATGCACTTTAGAAAGATCACTGGAGCAGCTCTGTGGAAACTGGGCTGGGAAAAGGAGAAAGGCATGCACAGGGTTAAAAGGCTCGTGCAACAGAATATGGGCTTTGTGAGAGCAGAGACTGTGTGAGGTCTGTTACTTCCTTATAGTCAATATGTAGGCACTTGTAGGCACTCAACAGATATGTTTGAATTAACAGTCTTGGGGAAAAGTGATTAAAAACAAACAAACAAAAAAAGCCGGGCTGTAGCTAATGATACTGAGGATGTGGCTAAGCCCACAAAACTGGATCATGGACGACAGCAGTGAGGGCACATGAGGGGGTGTGGAGGGCTGGGGACGTGAGCTGGTGGCACAGCTAGGAGAGAAAGATAAAAACAGACCACGGCTTGCTGGTATACAAGATGACCAACCTCGGTTCCAGGTAGTAGATAACCTGTAGTTTTTGGCATAGATCCGCCTGGCCAGAGAAGGATGCTTTGAAATCTGGGACTTACACAGCTGTATCAGGCTGTCCACAATGAGTGGGCTTGGAAAAAAAGAAGAAACATTTGGAGACATAAATGGTGACTCCAAAATTAATCAAATGGAAATCTTACTGACTTGGGGGAAACTTACCAGTAGGTCTCTCTCTTGGGGATATCTCCAGTGCAGTGCCAGAGACGGGCGTGATAGATCACATTCAGAACACGTTCATCTTGGTTCTCTATGTGGTTCCTTGGGTCGTCAAGGAGGCTAAGCACTTTCTTGGGAAGGCCTTCTATTAATTTGGCTTTGGTAAGCCAGAGGGCTTGCTTTACACCTTTGGGGTAATTAGTCACAAAAAAAAAAAGGCAATTCAGAATGAGATACCTAAGCCTGCCTTGTAGCATCCTGGGGAAAAGGCTGCACTGACAGAGAGAGCAAGAGAGAGAGAGAGAGAGAGAGAGAGAGAGAGAGAGAGAGACACCTCTGAGGAGTCAGAACTACAAATAAGGAGCAGAAGCTAGAATAGCCAGATTTCAACTCTGTTTCAGGAATGACTGTCTATTGAAGGACGGTTAACAATTGAGACAGAGAGTGCCTGGCATAGCAGGAATTAAAACAGTGGCGAAGATGGCTGAGATCATAAGCATCTGTCTATTCAGACATACCCTAGACTGTGATTACCCTAGACTGGGATTAGATCAATGGATGTCAACTTTTCAAAACCTAGATCTCTTCTATTAACCCATACCCAGTCCCTGACTACAGAAGCCCATATCTACAAAATGTACCTTGTTTATTAGCATTAAGCCCCTGATGTTTTATCAAGGGAAGGAGCTTTTGGAAATAGTGGAAATAACCTTTAAATCATGAATAACTTGAAGAGCTCTGAGTTTGGGAGCACTTAGATAATACTTCACATCTTATCTAACCCTGAGATTCTATACTGATCTACTTTACAGATTTTTGTATGAAGAAGCCCTCTGAAACATACTGCATTCGCCTCCTTAAGACCTTCTGCTCTTCTCCCTGGCCTTACTATATGAAGGCTGGCATTGTTTATTCTTGGGAACACGGTAAACTGCATAACTGAAAATGTTTTTCCCTATCCCAAGGGTAACCAAACTTTAATTTCTTAAAAGGCCAGATAGCAAGTATTTTCAGCTTCTGGGCCGTGTGGTCTGTCACATAATCACCTCTGCCACTGTAGCCCAACACCAGCCACAGGCAAAGAGTAAACGAGTGGGCCCGGCTGTGTTCTAATGAAACCATTTACAGGAACAGGCCACTGGCCTAGTAAGCTGCTCTGGTCTCTGTGCCATTTGTTGTTGCTAGTAGGCTGAGAGCCAAGTCTGGGGATCCCGTTAGCAAGCAGAACCTCACAGAAGGAACTTTTTGTATTCAACTCACTGTTTTATCTTTCCTTTGTGCTGATTGTCTCATCAATCTACTTTTAATTTAACTTGGCTGTGTTTCTCTAAAATACTCAAAATACTTTTCAGAAAAAGATGGAGTATAAATAATTGAAATAGAGTTGATTCAGACTGCTTAGTCTTTAAACATTAAGGAACATCAACTACTCTCAGCAGGATGGGCTGTGGTGCCAGGCAAAAGTCCCTTAATTCACTTTCACCAGATCTGGCTTCCCTAAGGGAGGAACAAACACAGACCTAGGGACCTAACTTCTGCACTAAGCCGGCATACCAGTCCTCTACCCTTAGATCAAAGTTAACACTGTGTTCTTTTCAAGGATTGTCCCCACAAGTTAGCAGAGAGCTGGTTACTGCTTTGGTGTTCATCCCAGCTGGAAAAACACCACTTTGACTCAGGGATGCATCTTCATTTGAAAAACTTTGCCTGGGATTAAAGGGAGCCCAGACCCTTTGGGGGGGGGGGGGGAGACGCCCTCAGGCAGTTTCTTTTGTGTTAATAAATGAAAGGCAATGAGACTTTTCACTTTAAGGCTTATAAGACATCAGAAATACAAACACTTAGAAATTGAACTTTTGGATTTTGTGGTGGAGCAGAAAAAACCCTGGAGTGGAAGATGAGTAACCTGAGTTTTAGTCCTGACACTGCCACTGTTCCTTAGACTTGAAAGTGTTCTGTAAAGTTTAACAAAACTGCAAGATACATAGCTACAGAACCATGTTGGGGCGCAGAGATCATGAGCTTTGGGGTAGACAGTTCTTTACGACCCGCGAATCCAGACAACTGTCAGAAAACAGGAATCACTATTGGCCCTGCCTCGCAGACGAAGAAACCGAGACCCTCGGGGTTTCAATGTCTTGTCCAAAGCCACAGAAGGCTGGGGTCAGTACAGGGTAGAGGAACAAGGTCCCATCCTGCCCATCGTGGGGCCTCACCCTCAAGGAGGCTGCAGCGCTGGTGGAAGGTGTGGCAGACCTGGTCTTTGTACAAAGGATGTTCGTGAATCGGAGGAACGCGACGGAACTTTGGATGCGTCCAGCCGGGATCCCAGGGCGGGAAGATCGGCCGGGCCAACCAGGGCACGAAGTGCATCTTCCCCTCGTAGGTGATGGGCTCCAATCCAGGGATTTCGTGCACCCTCTCCGGGGGAGGAGGCTCGGACTTCCGCGTAGAGCGGACGCCCCACTTGTACGCCCCGCGTCTAGGGGCCCCACAGCTCCCAAGGCCGAGCCGTCCGGGGCGAGCCAACGCCCGCCTTGCGGGCCCCGACGCCAATGCCATACCGATTTGGTCTCCTCAAGACCTCCACCTGGACGCCGCCATCTTCCCATGCGCAAGGCCTGCTGGGAACGAAAGGGGGTGGGCGTCAAAGTTAGTTTCCTGAATGGCAGCCACTCGAACCAATCAAAGTCAGGGTATGGTAGTCTTGTCCCACCCCACAGGCAGTTCTTATTTTCTCATAGGTAGGACTCGGGGGAGAGAGGGAGGGAGCCTGAAGGATCCTCTCGTGAGAGGAAGCGAAGGGGTGTAGGTGAGTGGCCTTGGTTGTGACTGGGACGGGAATAGGACACCTAGACTTCACACTGAAACTCAGGGCAACCTGGACCTCTAACGACCAGTTGGAGATTGAGCAAGGCACTTTTCTCTGAGACCCAGCGTCCCTTGCTGTAAATGTAGGGATAGAAACGTCTAAGCTAGCACACCTGTACAGTGCCCGGCGCATAGTGGGTGTGCTGTAAGTTCCCTTTCCTTTCCAGACACTTCTGCCTTCTGCGGGCACTTTTACCCTGACCCTCCCCTAAGCCGAGAGTGGCTCTGTCCCCTCCACACTGGCGTCACATATCGCACTGCTCGCCTCTTCCCCAGCCCTGAGAGTGAGTTAATTACCTCCCTTTTCCTCGTGATTTCCCTTTCCGCCTCCTGGAAGCAAGGCCAAAGGTGGAAGCAGTCCTTTGCTCACCGAGCAACACCTGTTTATCAAATGCCCACTGTGTGTCGGGCACTGTCCTGAGCATTGTGTTTGTGTTCGTGAATAAAATAGACGTGCCATGTAGCACTCACAGTTTAATGGGAGAAACAGACAGCAGGTAAACAAATGAGCAGTTGAAACGTGTGCGCGCGTGCGCACACACACACACACTTCCTATCCCTTTTCCCAGTTGTGTTTTTTTTTTTTTCTCTTTAACACTTAACACAAATATACTGTATGTTTTCCCTTTTGGTCTCATTTAATGACCATCTCCCACTAGAATGTGAGCTCCATGAGTGCAGGGGTTTCTGTTTCTTCCCTGATATATCCCCCACCCCTAGAACTGTGCCTGAAACAGTAAATGAATGTTTAATGAATGAATACTAATAGAAGCAAATGGTGTTCATGATAGAGACTGAGAAATGGGAGGTCACTGAGGGCCTCTGAGGGGAGGTGACCTTAAACAAGGTCGGAAAGGTGAGAAGAGTCATCCGGGCAGAGCAATAACATGTGTCGAGGCATGGCTTAAAGGTGGTGCCTCCTGGACCAGAAGGTGGAGTGGGAGAGAGGCATGGATCAGTTCTTTAAAATTCATGACTGACCTGGCCAACTTCTCTACCAGTTTCCAAAATACTGGAGAAAGTGGTATTATTAAAACATGAGAAGGGCAAATTTAAGGCAAAGACTGGTATGAATAGCCCTCACAGTGTATAGCTGCTTATAGGTGATGGAGTTCTTTCACTTATCTCACTGTATCTTACAAAAATCAAAGTGAGAAATAGGTATAAAGAGGGGACCACACCTCGTTCCCTTATACACATACCTGGCACATAATGTGCAGTAAAAGTGGGCCAGGTCGGTGCAACACTGGGCTGGACTGCAAGCTCTGTGAAGGTGGGGCCCATGTCCTATTTCCTTCTCCTGTATCCCAGCACCTAGGTTTGTGCCTGGCCCCCAGACCTTATTTGTAAATTGAATGAGCACTCACTGGTCACTGGAGCCTTTCAAATGCCAGGCCTGTGCTTGGTGGTGGAATACTACCCTCAAGGTGGGTCCCAGCCTGCTAAGCCTTCATGGAATCAAAGAACCAGCAGTAGAACCAAGTGTTTTAAAGCCAAGTCCTTCCATAGAGATAGATTTATTGCATATAGAGGGAGGGCTCTTCTAAAACCTACGATAGTGGTAAGAAAATTTGGACAGGTTCTGATTAGGGGGAGCCTTAGGCATCAGGCAAGAACATTGAATTCAGTCCAGTAGGCAATGGACAGCTGTGAGAAGTTGCTAAGCAGGGCACTGGTGTGCTCAGAGCTGGTGGCAGGTGCACTAATGGATGCGGGAAGCAGTAAAAGTGGAAAAAGTCAACGATTTGGATTCCTGGGAAGTCATTGATAACCAAGAAATGGGACTTCCTTGTCCTCTAGCCAACATGGTGGTTCTGCATCTGCCCTTCCTCAGACTTGGCCCACACCTTGATCCTAGCACTTTATGCACAAATGAAATTAGTGCCATTGGGAGACTTTGGGGTGCCCATAAAATTCAGTGACAGTTTGGCAACTTGGACCCCTGTTCTGGGCCAGCCCGTTGGCCAGGCACTGGGGATTAGAGAGGAAAACGCCCTCTTCCCTGTCCTCAGAAGCAAGAAATCCAGTGAGAAAGCACCAGCCTGGAGACATAAGAGACCCAGGTGTGCATTACTAACCTCACCACTTCTGGCTCCCTAACCTGGGCCTCAGTTTTATGTGAAATGAGGAAGAACATGGACTGAGTGGGCAGTGCAAAGCGCTTGGCTTAGACTCCGGCTCAGTCAGTGGCAACTGTTCTTACAATGGTTATTGTCTGTTTAGCTGATGACTCTCTCACTAGGCCAGGAGGTCCTCCAGAGCAGAGATGAATGTCACTCACCTCTGCCTCCCAGCACCTCATTCAGCAGCCCCTATTAGTAAGTGTCTATGGCAGGAGTAATTGGGAGGAAATCAAAGGCTGGAGCTCTTCGAGGAGCTGCATTTTAGAGAAATGACATTTATATCAAGTAATGTTCGGCAGCATGAGACTTCCCCTCTGTTTGATTCTTAGGCAGGAGGGAGAGAACACTTTGATTTGCCTGTGGAATTTTTAAAAACTTATTTTTAAAAGGTTTTATTTATTTGTTTTCAGAGAGAGGGGAAGGGAAGGAGTAAGAGAGGGACAGAGACATCGATGTGCAATTGGTTGCCTCTCATACACCGCATGCTGGGGACCCAGTCCACATCCCAGGCTCGTACCTGATGAAATCCACCTGGTGGCCTCTTAGGTCTCAGGCTGTCACTCAGTCCACTGAGTCACACCAGCCAGGATGCCTATGGAATTTTAAATGAATAGTTTGCTAATAGGTGAGGTGATCAATTCTATATCTATGTAAACGGTAGAGTTCTACATATAAATATGGATGACCTTGATTAATCCCAAACTACTTTCACAGAAACATTGCTAGCCCTGGCTGGATATGTTGTAAAGATAAATGAGATGCAGCAATTTGGTGGGCGATTCACCAGCAGTGCTGCTGAGTGAAAGAAACTACATGATTCTGCATAGGTAAGAACCTCATTCATGGGACTTGTGAAGATAAAATCTGAGCAGAGCTGAACCGTAGTGGTTAGGGCTGCAAACAAAGGAGACAAAATTAGGGAAAGCGGAGGAGTGATTACATCAAAAGTCAAGATGCTGATTACAGGGGCGGGGGCTGTGATCAGGAAGGGACACCCACAGGTGCCTTCTGGGATGCTGGCAAGGTTCTTTTTACTTGACTGAGTGCTGGTTACAAAGATGTTCTTTGATAACATTTCAATTTTTTAATGATTATTAAATTATACATAAATGTTTTAGTTCATTTAAAATACGTTTTTAAATTTTTAAATTTTATTTTATCTTTATTTTATTTATGTTTAGAGAGAGGGGCAGGGAGGGAGAAAGAGAGGGAGAGAAACATTAGTGTGTGGCTGCCCATCCCCTCACTGGGGACCCGGCCCACAACCCAAGCATGTGCCCCGACTGGGAATCAAACCAGTGACTCCTTGGTTTGCAGGCTGGGGCTCAATCCACTGAGCCACACCAGCCAATGCCATCATTTAAAATATTTTAAAAATTCAACTAGATTTCCTGTGCAAATTGCTTAATCCAGTACTCAGAGCACAGGAAAAGAAAGGCCAGGAAACCTTGGTTGCCAGTACTAATTGTTATGTCATGTTTGCTTGCCTCCCCCTCCAGGCACCAGATTCCAGGGCGATTCATCCCTGTCTTCTGTGTTTACACACAGCATGGCTCCTGCAAGGCTCAGGAGGGTGGGAGCAGTAGAGGTGACCGAAGTGTAACACATGTTTTCCCTCTCCCAGACTGGCAAGGGAACGGGACCTGGGTCCGTGACCTCACAGAGCCAGGCCAGCTCTGGGAAGAGCACCAGTTGTCCCTCCCAGCCTGCCTGAGCCCTCTAATGATGGATGAGAGGGAGGAAGATGATGAAGAGGAAGCCTGGCTGCAGCTTCGGCCTGTGGAGCCCTTGCCCTCCCAGTGCTGCGGCAGTGGCTGCTCGCCATGTGTGTTCGACCTGTATGACCGAGACCTGGCAAGGTGGGAGGCAGCCCGAGCCAGCAAGGACAGAAGCCTGCTAAGAGGGAAGGAGTCACAGGTAAGGGAGAGCTGCTCCTCAGACAAGAGGGCCAGGGTGGCAGCATCTATCTGGCCTTGACCCTGCACAGTGTACCTGCTCAGGGAAGCTTTCCCTGACTCTACAGTAGAGAAAAGAGAGTATGCTGAGTGGAAGCGGACAGAAAAGCCTGGCCCTGAGTTGGGTATGGGGGAGTGATTGGGTGTGGGAATCTTACAGAAGAAAGAGATCCATGAGTTATGGCATTCAGACTTCCTGGAGGAGGTGCAGTTGGGGCGGAATGTTAAGGGCAGTGGGCTGAGACCTAGAAGACGTGAATTTGAGTCCCTGCTCATGAGGTGACCTTGGACAAGTAAGTCACTACTGTCAAGGCCCCACATGTAAAATAAGGATATTAGATTAGATCATCTTGAAGGTCTCATTGATTTCTAAATTTTGCAAATATGAATTTGAGCAGGTTTGAAAGATGGGCGGGTCATTCGTACATTAGAGATGAATGTTCTAGACAGAGGACCCAGCTTAAGCAAATAAAGGCTCACAGGTAGGAGGCAGCAGGGTGTTCTTGGAAGAGTGGAGAAGAGTCTGGCATCTGAGCATGGGAGGTCAAATGAGGTCTGAGGGTCATCCACAGGTCCCATGAGTGTCCAGTTAAGATGCCTGTACTTTATCCTGGGGCCGAGGGGTGCCATGGAAGGGTTAAGAGCAGGATGAGCACAGTGTAAATTGCTTTGACATTTTTAGGTCAGAGCGTGGAAGGGAAGTAAGGTGGGACTGGTCTCCACTGTAACAGAAAGCTTACCAGCTGGGGTGGTGTCTCCTTGGGGAAAGTGGGAAGGTGCTTGTGGATGCTTGCATGTTTCTTGAGCCCCAGCTTCTAGCTGTTGGATATTTTCCTGTTGCAGAGCTGCCCCTCCAAACTGAGCCCAGAGACGTTCCTGGCCTTCTGTATCAGTGCCATGGAAAAACTCACTGAAGACACGTACCGTGTCCAGTTTGCGCTACCTGGAAACAGCCGGCTCGGCCTGTGGCCTGGCCAGCACCTCATCCTACGGTACACTCAGGTAGTGGGAGGGTCAGTGCTTCGCAGCCCTGCCTTGCCATTTGCCAGCTGTGTGGTCTGGGCAACTGCTCAACCCCCCACTAGTCATCTTCAAGATAGACATAGTAATACATGACTCAGGATTCTTGGGACTGAACCAGAGAATGCATTTTTTATAATGAATAATAAGAGAAAACACTTTGATAGCGTATACTACCAAGGTACAGCTCTGTTTGCTTGTACATATGAACTCATTTCCTTCTCACACAATCCTGTGTGGGAGGTACTGTTGTACCTGAGAAGAAACTGAAGCTGTAGAGGTTCAGTGACTTGCCTAAGGTCACACAGTTAGGAAATGCTGGAGCCAGGATTTGAAGGCAGGCAGTGTGGCTCTAGAGCCTGTGGTGTGGCCCTAGTATGAGTAGCACCAGTGGGGATAGAAAGAACACTGTCACTGAGAACAAGGGACTTGCCCAAAGCACACAGCTAGTAATCACGGAGCCAGGGCTTGAACTCAGACAGCCCAGCTCCTGAGTTACACTCTTAGCCACTCCTCTGAAGTTCCTTCTTCCTCCCAGCTTACTTGTGTGTCCCCCCTCCTGCCTCAGTCCCCACCTTTACCTGCCCAAGGACAAGACCCTTTGGGACCTCCTGATGGAGGCCTCTGCCAGGCAGTTGACTCTGAGTATGAGGCTCAGCAGAGAGATCTGAGCTGCAGACGTGGGTATGGGAATCGTTAGCATATACCTGGGCAGCATTTGGGAGCATGTGGCACAGAAAGAGGGAAGGGCAGGGAACCAACCCTGTCTACTCTAGCATTTACGGTGTTGGCAAGAGGAGGAGGAGCCAGCAGGGGAGACAGAGGGTGCAGCCAGCAGATGGGGAAAACCAGGAGGGAGCATATTACTGGTCACACTCTGCCCCTTGCCTTGCACTGACCCCTGGTGTTTGTGCCCAGCTCGTTCTGGCCTGTGCCTGGCCGGAGGCCCTTAAAGCTCACTGTTCCAAATGGATGGGAGGGGCCCCAGGGCAGGTCACAGCCCCTTGCAACCAACCATCCATAAATCAGGAACCCCCTCCCTCTTTTCCACCCTCTCTGCCTCTCAAGTGACTTTCCTAACACATGCAGCTGACCGCATCACTCCCTGTTCCAACACCTTCTGGTGCTCACTGATGCCTCCCAGCTTCCTCCCCACCAAGTTCTTCCCCCTCTGCTGCATGTGTGCCCCTCGTTTTGGCTTCATGGATCCACCCAGCAGTTCCTGCCCTACATTATCCGATCTCAGCTTCTGCCCCGGCTGTTCCCCAGCCTGGAATTACTTCAATTCCTGTCCCCATTCTCACCTGCCAGTGGCTTGCTCATCCTGTAAACCCCAGCTCTGAAAGGCCTCCAAGGCTCCTGGGGCCCCCAGAGAGTGGTTGCTCCCTCTATGGCATATCAGTTTTGCCTCTGTCGTAGCAAACGTCAGCATGCTCTTTGCATCTAAGTCATGTCATGTGTTCTGCTTATTTTCCCATTTGTTCCACAAGCATCTATTGAATATTTCTGTTCAGCTTCTCTGCTTTTGATGCATTGGGACAGGGCCTTTTTAAAAATCTTTGCAAACATCATAGGACTCGAGAGAGGAGTGCTCAGGTGCTTCTGAAAAGCCCTGAGGAGCAGGGTAACTTGGCTGTGCAGTCAGACAGAGCTACGTGTGAATCCTAGCTGTGTGACCTCGGGCCAGTGGCTTTCCTTCTCTAAGCCTTGTTTTTGCATTTGGTCACTATTTGAATTCAATAAGATAACGCATACGATATGCTCAGTGTGCAGTAGGCAGTTAAGACAACAAGGCTGTTCTCGGCCACTATGGTCATCCTACCCCCTTGTGACAGCATTATGGTGAGGATTTGTGCACAAGGCCGGGCTCGGACTAGGGCGCCTTTGAGGACCCTTCCAATTCTGATGATTCTGGCACAGGGGAGTAAGCATTTAATAAACAACTTGTTAAAAACAGTTGTTTTTATCTTCAGCATTCTGTGGCTGAGAAGAAGTCAGGAAAAAACCACAGTGATGGCCTAACAACAGCAACTTCATCAGTGTACTTCTTTTTTTTTTTTTTTTAAGATTTTATTTATTTTTAGAGAGGGGAAGGGAGAGAGAAAGAGAAGAAGAGAAACATCGTGTGGCTGTCTCTCATGCACCCCCTACTGGGGACCTGGCCTGAAACTCAGGCATGTGCTCTGATTGGGAATCAAACTGGTGACCCATTGGTTCACAGGCTGGTGCTCAATCCACTGAGCCACACCACTCAGGGCCATCAGTGTACTTCTTGAAGCACTTACCCTCTGTAACCCCGGTGGAACTACACAACAGGGGCAAAGATGGCTGGCCCCATGTCACAGAAGGCAGAACTAAGGGACTGATGACCTGCCCAGGGGCTCACAGCCAGCATGTGGCAGGGGGGACCTCAGTGCTTTTTTCCTGCGCCATCTTGCTTTGCCCCTCAGTGAGGACCACTGGGGATGACCTGACCCCACCTTCACCTTTACCAGCCTGGCAGAGTAGATACTTATACGGGTTTGTTGAATGACTGACTGACTGCTTCTCTTTCCCAGAGGGATAGTAGATGGCTTAGAAATTCAGAGAGCCTACACGCCCATCAGCCCTGCCAACGCAGAAGGATACTTCGAAGTTTTAATCAAGGTGAGCTGAAGCACACGATGCTCTAAGGGCCCCATGGGTTCCCATAGAAGGAGGCTGGCTTGAGGGAACAGTGGGCACAGTGAGGAAAGCCTTCTCCTATCTCCTTTCCTGGTGAAGGGGGGCTGCCTGACCGCCAACAGAGGGCTTATTTCTGACAGATTTTATGGAAATGAGGCCCAGACTGAGAAAGTTAAAGCTGCTCCTTCCCATTTTCTTGCCAATCGATGGAGACTGAGCGCTGAGTGAGGGGGATGGGAGGCCCAAGCTGCCCCATACCTATTCTGTAGTAGGCATGGGGGTCCAGATGCAGCTGACGTGTGCCTGTCCTCAGAGGAGCAGCCCAGCACAGTCCAGTGTGACAGACACCAGGACGGGGGCTCCCAGCTCGGGGTGCTGCAGCTGTGGCTGCGACAACATGTGTTTGAACTGTATGTTGGGGCGAAGGAGTGGGAACCAGAGGGGAGATGTGGGAAGGAAGCTCTCCGTGCTGGGAACGGCACGTAGGGTGGTAAAGGAGGACAGATTGGGGAACTGTCTACCGTTTGTCCTGGATCAGCAGGGGGCGTGGAGGACCTTCTGGACCAACCTAACCTGAGATCACCTCTCGGGAATATGGGCAGGGGCCAGGGCATTTGAGCTGGGCCTTAAAGGCAGAGCAGAAATTGGCAGTGGCAGGGAATGGCATCCAGGCCAAGGGGGCGAATAAGCAAAGGCAGGGAGGGGTGAAACAGAACAGGGTCTCGTGGGAACTGTTCCCAGTCTGAATGGCAAGGGAAAGGGGCTTGTGGAGGCAGCCAGGTGGTGAGGAATTTGGCAGAGATGAGATGAACAAAGTGGGTTGGATACGAAATACCCCCGAGACCCCAAGAATAGGCACCGAATGTATAAGAAGTCACAAAGGTCCAATTATATGGAAAAGATAAATAGGCTGAATGGCGCGGAATTGCTGCTGCTTTAATAGTCGACTCACAGAAAGAGCAGTTTCATGTGGGTTAACCTAACATGTGGCTCTAGATCATCATTTCCCAAATGGAATCCTAGGGAACACCCGTGTTTAAGAGTAGCTTTCACATCCTTTTATCGCCCTTGTACGGCAGGAATTATTATCCCTATTTCATTGATAAGCAAACTGAGCCCCAGGAGAGCCCACAGCTCCACCGCTAGTAAGAAGGATGGCTGGCAGCGAGCCCTGGCCTTCCGATGGCGGGACCCCAGCACCGGCTCTGGCTTCTGCCTTCCCTGCCTGCCTTCAGAGCCCGAGTGTTTACTCCCTCACACATAACCTTGGATGGGATCCCTTCCCCACACAACTGTTTGTCTGGGAGATTCCACAAATCCTCTCCAAATGGCCTGCTTCCCCAGGCTGCTTGTCTGGGTGTGTTTCTGTTGAAAGGATAAGCCTGGAGACAGTTTTCTCCCAGCTGCAAGGCTGATTTTCTCCTTTGCTTACTGGAAAGCCTCTCTTAGAGGGATGCACAATTATCCCTAAGCCGCTGGCTAGGAAGAGCTGGAAAAGATTGCAAATTGGAAAGGTAGAAGGGATTTTTTTAGGTTTATCCTTTCTGGTACACAGCAGGTAGGAACTCCCATTTCTCAGGCATTGTCTGGGCACCAGACATGGCTTCTGGCTTTTTATTTCCCTAACCACCCCACAGAGTAGATCATGTTATCCCCATTTTACAGATGAAGAAGCTGGTGCTCAGAGATGATGTCATTATCCCAAGGCCCCTTGAGTAACATAATTCCAAGTGGAAGAACAGAAGTTTGGTGTCGGTCCTGTTTAACGAGCGTGTGTTGAGCAGGCTGTGTGGGCTGTGCCTCCCGGAGACTGGGCCAGGAAACACTGGGTGTGCTCTGAGACACGGCCTCTGGCAAGTTAGGAGAACGGTAGCCTCCCTCCCAGACCTCTTCCCATTGACCCAAGGACCTGGGGGCCCTGCTTTATGCATATGGTGTCCAAGAAAGTCAGGGGTGGTACTAGAGGAGGCTGTGGGCACTTAAAAGCACGTCAGATGACCAAATCCCAGTCTGGTTATAATCTCATCCCAAATACCCTTCCTGTCCTGTTACCCAGTGCTTCCCTCTCACAGATCCTGCTGTGTCCACTTGCTGTTCCCAGCATGTGACCTGGGCTGTTCTACCCTTGACCATACCATGCCTGATGCCCAGAATCCTCTCTGCCCTCCTGCTCCTGTTCATTACCAGTGAATTTGATCTTACCCAGTCTTCAAGGTCCAGCTCAAATGCTTCCCCCTCCAGGAAGCTATACTTGATCCGGCTCCATTGGAAGTGACTGCACGTCCTTAGTGTTACCCCAGCACTTTATCCTTTTCATGGGGTGTTAGGGCATCTCTGCCTTGTGTGAGTCTGAGACTTAGGTTCCTCCTAGATTGTGAGCTCCTTAAAGACAGGGCCTAAATCTGATCAATTGATTTATTGATTCATTTATTCAAATATTTATCAAGTCCTTTCCATGGTTCGAGCACTGGCTACCTTCTTGGGGCTTCGGGCCAGCTGTCTTCCCTGCAGCCTCAGCATGGTGCCTGGCGTGGAGTGGGCAGGCCCCCAGGAAATGTAGATTGCCTTCCCCCCATGGAGGAGTCTCTTTCATATCCTTCATGTTTTTTGTCCAGCCAGGAAACAGTGTAAGGTAATACAGGGATTTCAGATAAGTGGTTTACAAACTTCAGAAGGAGCATTCACTCGCCAGTTTACCACAGTCCCTACCCCTCCCTGCTGTCCTCTTATACTGAGACTGCTTGTTGTCGTTAGTCATCTCATACCCAGTTCTTCACTCATTTAGGGTACCTGCATGGGCCCTTAGTTATTTGAGTTTGAAACCTCTGTAGCCAGAGCTGGAGGTCCTGTGGGTTCTCATCCCAGTCTCACCATTTCCCTTCCATGTAAGCTTCTGAGCCTCATTGAAAGTTAGAAACGACAGTACCAATTTTGTGGGGTGACGAGGAGGGTTAAATGAGATAACACATGTAAAGCAGTTAGCATTGCAGAAGGGGCTGCTGTGGTTTGTATCGGCAGCGTGTGCCTGTCCCATTGAGGTCTCCCTGTGTTTGCTCCCAGTGCTACCCAACTGGGCTGATGTCTCGCTACATTGAGTCCTGGAGAGCAGGAGTCACGGCTTTCTGGCGAGGACCTTTCGGAGGCTTCCTCTATAAACCCAACCAGGTCAGTGCCAGCACCCGAGTCCTCAGGGGACCCCCTCCAGCTGAGCCTCCAAGACTGCAGCTTCAGGTTTTGGGTTGTAGAGTCTCACTGCACCATTCTTTCTGAACCCGAACCCAAACCCGGGCATACCCTTGGGGTGGGACGTGGGAGGAGGTGGAATAGGCACTAGGAGACAGAATCGTTTGCCCATGTCCCAGAGATGTCCGTGACTGTCCTTGCTTAGGAAATTCAGACTCATGTACTTGGTATTTGAGGCCCCTGTCCCATCTTACCCTCAAGTGCCTTTCCCGTTCCAGGACTGTAGAGACTGCCCCTAAATATGTCCCATGGCTCACTGCTCGGGAGGCTGCTGCCTCCCAGCCTGGAATGCTCTTCTCCTTATCTTCACTCTGTGTTCAGAGCCTTCCCTGATGTTCCCGGGAAGAATTAGCAATTTCTCATCAGTTGGCGCATTTCTGGAAAGCAGTTTGGCAGTATGAAGAGGCTTAAAATTTTTTAACCCAGTAACTGCACTTTTGGAAGTCTGTCCTGTGGGAGCAGCCCCAGTGCTGGCTCTCGCACGTGTTCGTTGCCGCTCTGTTTACAACAGCAGGGGGTTGGGGGTGACCAAGTGTTCAACAACAGGGCACAGTTAGTGCCCTGGGCTCCAAGTACTTAAAGGAATATTATCTTGGCTTCTGAAATTATGTTAATAAATGATAATGTGTGTTTATAGTGTAAGATCAAGGGACAGACGCTGGGCACAAACCTGAGCATACAACAGGCTGAGAAACTGAGTGAAAATGCACAGAAAAAATGTGAAAAGAAAATACAGTGAAGTGATAGCAGCTCTGGGTGATGAAATAGTGGGTGATTTTTATTTTCTTCATTAGACTTTCCAACTTATCCACAATGAACACCCACTACCTTTAAAATTAGGAACACAAAGCAAAACAAAAACAAATGGAAAAGAATGAATCATCCCTCTCCATTCTTTTTGTTTAATTTAAAAATAGCTTTTATTGCTTTTTTCCTTATTACAAATGCAATACATGTTTATTACCCCCAAACCAGCAGGTACAGAGAGACAGTCAGGAGAAAATGAAGAACATCTGCAGGCTGTCTGCCCAGACATGTCGGTCTCACTGCCTTGGCATGTGCCCTTCCAAGCCCTCTTCCCCCCGGGGGTGCATATTCCGGTGTGCACACGTATGTGTGTACAGTAACATCAGACATGTATGTGGCACCTCCTCCGAGCCAGGCTCTGATTTTAGTACTTACTCTGTAGTAGCTCATTTAATCCCCACCACTGCTCCTAGGTGCTGCTGCCCTCATTTTCCAGATATGGGAGTGTACATATATTAATACTCTTCTGCGGTATTCTCCCCGTACTCACTATGCTCAGCCTTGCATGTTAGCTGAGCATGTCCCTGTGTCCCCCGGCCCTTGAGAGCAGGGACTAGGGATTTTCTGTTTCCTCCCAACCCTGAAGTGCACCTGGTGAAGGCTGTCTTGACCACCTTCTCTGGGTGGGGCCTCTCCACACCTGTGGCTGCTCCTGTGCACCCACAGAACACTGCTGGGGAGCCCCTGCGTGTCTGCCTGGGGAGATGGGAGGTCCAGCAGTGAGGAAGGAGAGGGGGTCTCGCACACTGACACTTGGGCCCTGCACTGGCGGCTGAGCTTGGCTCTGCCCCTCAGAGGAGGCTGGGGTGCAGCATCCCCGTCCCCAGCCATGTACTGCTGCTCTGTACTTGTCTTCACTGCAGATGGGCATCAAGTCAGCCCAGACCCAGGCACGTTAGCCTCTGTCTGTGCGCTCTTCCGCCTAGGGCCCGGCCCGGGTGGGCCTGGGTGCCCAAGACGGGTCAGACAAGGCCCCCGTCCTCCAGAAGCCCATGGTCTGATGGGCAGATGGACACAGACAGATGTCAACAACACAGCATGGCCAGGGTAGTGAGGCAGGGTGCTCTGAGGGCTGTGGGGAAGCAAGGAGGGACCTTCACCTGTCCCTAGCTCAGGGAAGGCTTCCCAGGGGAGAACCTGAGCAGCAAAGGGAGGAGGAGGGGGAGCAGGCTAGAGACAGGAGGGTGGGCGAGCAGGGACTCAGGGATGGGTGGTGTGGCTGGCAGTAGGTGTGCAGAAAGGGGACGGAATCTAATTGATGGACCCCAGGCCTCACCAGGCACTTTATGTCACCCCAGGACAGTTCTGAGATAGGTGCCATTATGGGGAGGTGCTGCTGTTATTATTATGATTTATGATTTATTATTATTACTTTACCAGGGAAGAAACCAAGGCTCAGACAGGAGAAAGCATTTGCCCAGAACACGTGGCTGGGGATGTATGCCCAGACCTGTATGACCCCTGGCCCCCCAGGAGGTAGTGCGTGCAGTAATGTGTGTGTCAGGGCTGTCAGCGAAGCTAGTGAAAACCCAGGCTGCATTCACAGGGGCCTGGTCTCTAGAGCAAGGGAGGTGGATACCCCACTGCACGGGTCAGGCACTGACCTTTAAGGCCCTGACCGTAAGAAGGACTGCCTCTCTGTAAGAGGCCTGGAGCCAGGAGATGGGTTCAATGAGAAGGGGCGGATGGAACTGGGACCACTTAGGGTGGAAACTCAATTATTACAGGGCTCTTCTGTGCTAGGCACTGAAGTATTTATCTGGTCTAGAGTCAAACAGTCTCAGGGTTCCAAGCCAGTGCCCTCAGGTCTCTGCGGGGCTGCCCTGGAGCAGAGGAAGCAGCCCAGAGGGCAGGGCTGGGGTGGGGGCAGTGGGGCAAGGGCAGGTTTGAGCTCAGTGTGAGGTGGGAAGACCTCCCTGGCAATGGAGTCCGTCCGTAATAGAGCACACTGACTCGAGAGGCCGTGGACCGCCTGTCAGCAGAAGTGTGTACAAGTCCTGTGGGGATGCTTTAGAAGGAAAACAAACCACTTGTAGGAGAGGCCACACCCGTATGCTCCCTTTCAGCCCCCAGACTCCATGATGTCTGTTACACAGACCTCACAAGCTATGGACTGGAAAGAGCAAATGGTTTCCTGGAGGAGGCAGAGAGGGAAACTCAGATAGATGGACAAGCACCGGGAGGAGCAGTGCTGTCTTGTTCTGGCAGCCCAAGAAAAGGCCCCATAGTGGGTATGTGGGTGGGTGAGACCACGCCCGGCCCACGCGGTCACACAGCCACCCTGTTCCCCAGCACGGTGAGCTGCTCATGCTGGCTGCGGGCACCGGCCTGGCCCCCATGGTGCCCATCCTGCACAGCATCACGGACAACGCAGATGATGAGACCTTCGTCACCCTGGTTGGCTGCTTCAAGACCTTTGAGGGCATCTACCTGAAAACCTTTCTGGAGGAGCAGGCCCGTTTCTGGAACATCCGCACCTTCTTTGTACTCAGCCAGGTAAGCCCAGGGAGAGGACTTCCTTCCCTGACTGAGACTCTGTGGTCCCCTTGCACCTGTCCTGAGGACGTGCTGTGCCCTTTGTGCCCCGTGCTGTAATAACAACCCTGCCACTGGTGGGATCCCTGCCACGTGCCTGGCAGGGAAGGCAGGTACTGTCACGTTCATTATGTAGATGAGGAGACACGCCCAGGACGGTGACAGTGCCAGCCAGGGCCATGCTGCTGGGTGGGGCAGAGCCTGGATTTGAGCCTGGGGCTGTCTGACTGCAGAGCTCCAGCTCTCACCCATCATGCTTTGCTGCCCACCATCCACCCACTGGCATCGTCAGCGGGGGGCCTGGTTGCAGAGTCAGTGGGCCAGGCTACGGAGTCCTCCTTGAGGCTGAGCCACCTGTCTGGATCACCACCCTCTCCTCGGTGCTCAGCACGGTGCCAGGCACAGAGTAGGTGCCCCTCCATCCAAGCTGCTGGAGGAGAGTGGGGCCAGGTTCACTGCACTCGTGAGAGTGCCTGTCACGTCACGTTGCCCGGCCTGGGAGCAAAGCTGCTTCCAGCTCTCCAGGCTACAGACACTCTAGGCCAGGGGTGTCAAACTCATTTTCACCAGGGGCCACATCAGCCTCTCGGTTGCCTTCAAAGGGCTGAATGTAACTTTAGGATTGTATAAATGTAACTACTCCTAAACAGTTAAGTGAGAGCTGGGTACTGCCACTGGGTAGAAATAAGGTGGAGGTCCAGATTCATCCCTCAGGCCTTGTGCTTGCCACCTGTGCTCTAGGCGACTCTGCCCCCGACCCCTCTTATCTCTGAGTCCCCATCCCCTCCTTCGCTCGGGCCTTCCCGGCACCTCCCCTCCATGGTCAGAGCGTGGGGCCCATCATGCCCCTTATCGCCCACTTGGCCCTCAGCTCTCTCTGTTCACCTGCCTTCCCCTGGCTGGTAGCTTTACTTCCCTTTCCTGCATCTCCTGGGTTGGGGTGCCCTGCTGGCACCTCCCTCCATTCTCTGTCTCCCAAGGTCCGCCTGCTCCCTGCCCTCTAGGTACTCACCTGTATGTGGGGAGACAGCCACAGAGGCTGCTGATAACGGCCGCCCTTCAGAGCACTCTGTGCCTAGCACTGTGCTAAGCATGTTTGTGTATTGGCTCATGCAACCCCATACCACAATCTTAGGAGGTTTATACTGCCATCACACCTACTGTACAGATGTGGAAACTGAGGCACAGGGAGATTTAAGAACCTTGCCCAAAGTAACTCAGCAAGTTGGTGGAGAGCTGGGTGTGAACCCTGGTGGTCCTACTCCAGAGGCCCTGCTGTTACGGCCCATCAGTATAAGACAGCACAGCAATGGGTACTGCTGAGGGTGTTCAGGATGTTGCAGCAAGCAGGGAGGGCTTCACAGAGGTGGCGGCCTCTGAGCCTAGGCTTGTGGGTAGAGGGAAAGTTCACCAGCAATAGGGCCTGCAGCCCTGGGCTGGGGCCTGGGATGTGGTAGGCGAGTGGGCTGGCCATCAATGGCAGGGGCAATGGAGCGAGAGGCACTCCTACTGTCCACACTCCCTCCACTCAGCATGCTCCCTCTCCTGTCTGGTGCCAGTGACAGCTTGAATCTTCGAGCATCCCCCTGCTCCAGTCGCCCTGTATTGATTTGTTATCCATCCTGCTGTTGGAAGGACCACACCGCTGCCCTGCCCTGCTTGCAGCCCCGCCCTGGCTCCCTGCTGCTGTCAGGATGGAGTCCAAGCCTGCAGGGCTGTGCCAGTCCTCTGTGGCCTGTCTCTAAGCCCGCCCTCCCTGCACGCTGTGTTCTGGTGTCGCTGGTCTGCTTGTGGTGCAGTGCTCAGTGCTTTCCTGGCTGCCCAGCCTTTGCTCAGTAGTGCCCCCCTTGCCAAGAGCACTCCCCCACTTCTCCACCCAACATCCATTCATCACCACACTCTCTGCTGAGGTAGAACTCCATTCCCAGTGTTTTCCTTGAGCCCCTGGGCTGGTATCAGGGCATCTGCAGTCACAGCCTGGGCCCTCGTCCTCCACAGTGCCCACCCCAGTGCATCATCACTGCTCACCAGTCCCCACCCCCCCTGAGCAGTCGCCAGACCCAACTCATCTTTGGGTGCGCAGTTCAGGTGGGCTGAGCTGGACCTAACTGCCCAAGGGAGTCGGGCAGTGGGAAGCGGAGGTGAGGCCAACGGTCCACCTCAACACCCGCCCCCACCAGTCCGTGGCCATAGGGTGCGTCAGAGCATGGAGGGGTCATCAGAGGGGGTCTCTGCCTGCACCGCCCTGTCTGCAGAGGGCCCTCGGGGTCCCACGAGCTCCGGGAGGTGAAAAGCCTGTGCTCTCACCTCTGCCAGGTGTCTCCATCACACCACGCTCACCACAGTTGCTCAGAGAGGTCACTGTCACTCAGCCAGGAAGTAGCAGCAACGCCCAGATTCCAACCCCAACCCCCCTTCCTGCTTCTGCTGAGCCCCAGGAACTGGAACTCGCCTTTGCAGGGTCTGCAGAGGTCTGAACAGTTCCGTCCTGCAGGGGTTTTGTTTGTTTTTTGGTGCTGGTTACAGGAGTTCTCTTTGTTAACGTGCTTCAGGCTACATATACTCAGTGGTTTCTGTGATTTCGTATGCATATGTTGTACTTCAATAAAATGTTTACTTAGAAGAAACTCCCCCAAGTCAGCTAATGGTGGACCAGCTTTTCTTTTGTGACCCTGAGGCTGAAAGCCACACACTGAGGCTAGAAGTGCAGAGAGCTGGGCCCGGGTCCCTTGGGTACCTGCCTTTTTCTCTGGGACAAATAGACCCCTCTCCTGGTTAAGGCACTGCTGCCTGAGACCCCGGTACACAGGCAGGGTGAAGCCAGCAGCAACCTTGCCTGTTCAGAGCAGCTGCCCTGTCCCCAGTGCCAAGCACAGTGCCAGGCACAGAGTGACCGCTCTGTAAATGTTAAATCAACAAGCTAATGGAAACCCTAAAACAGATGAACAGAAGTTACGCTCCAAGGGTGATGGGTACAGACAACCTTGGAAAGGTGCTGGGGCACCCACAGTAACGGGGAAAAAACAGTTCTCCCAGGTGACAGGTACAGTGGCCCCCAGGAGGCCATGAGAAACGGTGGGGCCTGAGTTCTGATCCTGCCCCTGCCTCACTGTGTGTCCTGGAGAATGCCCCCCCACCCCCCGTGCCTCCCCTGTTGTAGGAGGGTAAGTTCCTGCCCACAGGCTGGTGGCGAGGTGCTGAGTACAGCGTGAGCAGGCGCCTGGCCCGTGGTAGGGCTGGGTGAAGGTTGCCTTCCCACCCCCTCTGCCTCAGTTTCCTCATTTGGCAGAGCGCTGGCTATGTGAACTTCAAGGACCCCCCAGCAGTCACCCCCGTTTTTCATCACCACAGGAGAGCTCCCCAGAGCAGCTTCCCTGGAGTTACCGGGAAAAGACCCGCTTCGGCCGCCTGGCCCAGGACCTGGTTGAAGAGCTGGTTGGCTCCTGTCGGAGGAAGCCATTTGCGCTGGTCTGTGGCTCTGCCGAGTTCACCAAGGACATGGCCAGCTGCTTGCTATGTGCAGGCCTGGCCGAGGATTCCTACTTCCTCTTCTAAGCCTGGCCTCCCCTCAGAGCCCAGGCCAGGGGCCTGCCAGTGGGATGCAGGGAGGAGCATAGACAGGAATCAGGAAATGTGGATGGAAGACCACCGCTGACTGGCCAGGCGGCCTTGGATGGCCATCTTTCCCTGTGTACATTCGGCTTCTCGTCCACACCACAGTTACCGTCTCCCTCAGGCCAGTCTTGCCGTGTGGTGGGGGATGGGCTGCAGGGGCACGGGGGTGGGGGGTGGTAACCAGCCTGGGAGTCAGGGAGGACGCCTGGTCCAGGACGGTAGCGTTTGGTAGAAGGGGCTAGAAGAGCTCCCCTGGTTCCTCAGGTTGGGGGGCTCATGTGGGGCTCCTATCAGACCATGCCCTGAACGTCTGCCCCAGAGCCTGCTTCCCTGGAGACTGGTGTCCCTGGGGGCTGCAGGGCTGGCTCAGGTGAGGTGTCCGTGAAGTGTCCAGGGGATGACCACAGGGGCGGCTGAGAGCCCTCTGGAGGAGGAGCTTGCCTTATGTACTTCCAGGCCGTGAGCCTGACACTGGGAAGGTCTTGGGCTCTGTGGCCTGACCACTACCTCAGAGCAAGGTGGGGCCCAAGTTACCCTTGTTCTGTATCGGCCCTAGGCCATTCCGCTTCCAATGACTTCACTCTCAGTTGCCCTTTCCTGGCTCTGCCTCGAGAGCCCAGCCCAGAGTCCTTTTTCCAGCAAAAGAGGCTCAGCCACAAACTCCCCTCCCTCCTGCAGGCAGCCAGCTCAGCCCTCCCTTCAGCTCTGGTGCCCTGGTGACGGTTGCTATGGAGATCTAAAGATAGAGCAGGAGTCAGGAGACCTGGGTCCTTCTCCCTGCTCTGCCCACTGAGTGGAGGCTGATTCCCATACACCCGCCCACACCCCTTCGCTACATACCCGCCCCCTCCATCCTGCATGGGGCATGGCCTCCCCAGGGAAGCCAGCGCCCTGGGCAGCGCACTGCAGTTAATGAATTCTGCTTTCCACAGCCTGAGCCCCAGAGCGCTGTGCCCGCTCAGGCTGGCTACAGGCATTCCCAGAATCAGAATATTAAGTCATGGACTCTCAGAATGAGAGAACCACAGAATCGTGGAGTTAGAATTTTACAGTCATAGAATCACAGTCCTCATTGTATCAGAGATTCAAGTTCAGGACTGCAAAGAGCATCCAGTCTGCTAGACCCACTGTGTCCACAGGGAAACCAAGGCCCAGGGAGGCCGAGTGACCTGAAGACAGTGGACAGTTCCCTGCAGGGCCAGCTCCAGAAGCCAGGTCTCTCAGAGGGAGCCTGTGCTGAGCTCGGAGCCACCGGTTCCTGTACTGGGCTCCACAGGACACGAGGGTTCCTGGCCCGGCAGCAGGGAAGGGATGGCCAGATGGGGTCTCCAGCCCCCCTTCCACCAGAGCAGCCTCATTTTTATCTCATTTATTTCTTGTGGCTTGGATTCATTTTCATTTGTACAAAAAGGGTTTCCTTGCACCACCCAAAAAGTTTCAACAAATCTCTGTAGTGTGCCATATTCAGTAAATAATCATGACAAGCAGTTGGGGGACGGTGCCCAAGGTGTCAGACTGCCTCACAGGCAGAGCTCCACGGTCAGGTACACGCGGGGACACGGAACTTGCCCCGCACACAGAGCCCCACGCACACGCGCACACTACAGGCTCCGATGGTCCGGTGGTAGAGACTGCGTTTTCATTTTGTTGAACCCAGAGATTCCCAAGCTTATCTAACCGTAGGACCTTTTTATCCACTAGAATCTGCTGAGACCCGAGACCCGTGGAATGCACTTTGGGAAACGCTGGTCTGTGGCAGAGGCTCTTTCAGCACAGCGATGAGTGGGAGGGCCCTGCGTGGAGGCAGAGGTCCAGCCGGTGGCTGGCGTGGGCAGGACGCACGTCCACCCTCGGGGCCGCGGGAACCTGGGCATCTTCCTTCCAGCTCCCTCGCCTCCAGTCAGCACATCCAACCGAGTCTCCTCACGGCTACTGGAGGGCCTGCTGGGAGCCAGGCTTTGTTCCAGCCACTGAGGAAACAGCACTGAAAAGGCTTGAGCAGTTCAGGCAAGCTCCACAGGGGAGCCTACTGCTCGAATGGAGAACAAAAATTAAGCCAGTGGTTCTGAAAGGGATGAATGTTCCAGACAGGGAGATGGGGAGTGCTAGGAGAGTGGGGGGCAAGGGTTTGCGGCCCCACTCGGGAGAGGGCCAGGACATGCCTCCACAGGGGGGGTGGAGGCTTCAGGGGTAATTCCTCACTTGTAAGGGTGATAGGTAGGGGGTCCCCGCTTAAGGGGTGAGGAGTCCTGGGCAGTTCGTGCACATGCCTTTGTCCCCTGTAGATATTCGATGTGCAGCTGTTAGGAAAGGCCACCCAGTGATCACCAGCAGTTTCCCCCACCCCCCACGCTGCTCCGTGCAGCCTGGGTACCAGTGGGTCTCCTACTGTGGGGCCGTTAGGAGGGCCCCAGCATGCCCTTGGTGCCAGGATGCCAAAGGGCTCACTTACCCACTAGAAACCTGAGAGCTCGTGGGTGCCGTGCCTTGTCAGATGCCAAGTGAACCTGAGGAGAGGACTGGTTGGGATGTGTGAGGGTGGACCTCTTTGAGTGGGGGGCGAGGTCCCCATTGGCTGGCCCGTTCCTGCCACCTCTCCTGGTAATGCCCCCGCTGCACGCAGTGGGAGCTGTGCTGTCAGGGCCGGCAGCAAACACGACGGCTGCCTCACTGTTTGCCTGTACCACTTGGCCACCCCCCCGCATGGCTCCTCCAGCCTCCAGCCTTTCCCCGACACCCCCTCACTGCAGCCAGACTGGCTTTTTCTTATTGTGGTGAGAACACTTAACGTGACATCTACCCTCTTAACACACTTCTGAGTGTGCAGTGCATTGCCGTGGACCGCAGGTGCGGACCTCCAGACTGCATGCAGACCGCTCGCTCTTTCTCCCACGAAGAACGGAGCCTGTCAGCCCCTTGCTCAGCCTCCTCCAGGGGCTCCCCTCTCCCTCAGGACTCTCAGCTCTGTTTACCTTCCCAGACTTGCTTTATGGTGCTGACTCCTCGTCCCCACCCCCAACTCTTACGTTCCAACCAGTTCTCTCGCGTCAATGATTCCCTTCACATTCGTTTGCTGCTCCCTCTGCCTGCTGTCCTGCCGTCATCCTGTTGCCACTTGCCTTGGCTTCCTCGTCTTTCAAGGGCTCAGCTCAGCGCCACCTCCTCTCGGAGGCCTCGCCTGCCTCTGCCGCTCCAGGCTAGGTTAGTGAACAGTCCTGCACGCTCTCCTGCTGTCGCACCTCTCCTCTCGGAGCCTCTCGTTTGCAGTGAGCAGCAAGGGCCCCGCAACTCGGCCTGGCCATTGTGTCCCTGGTGGGAGTGGGCTCAGCACACCCTGAATGGCGACCATCTGAAAAATAAACAGCTGATATTCATGGGGTACTTTACAGGTTGCAAAATGCTTTTTCATCCACACTGAAGCATGTAGTTGTCACCCAAATGCATGCTATTTTAGTGCCCCAACTGCCCGATCAGGAGACTGCCTGCCAAGACATTAGGCAGCTCTCCAAGGTCATGTAGGGGCACACACGCTGTGACTGTTGTGATGGTCGTGCGCGGCCCCCGAGTGCTCCAGGAGGTGAGTGTGTGTGAAGATTTTCATCGCTGCCCGTTTGAAAGAGCAAAGAATGAAGAAGTGCCTGCTCTCCGTCAGACGGAGAATGGAGACATGCACTGTTCGGTAGAGACTCGTCAGCGGAATACCACACAGCAGTTCAAATGAATGAACAGGTCTGCAGGTAGCAACGTAGACTATGTCCTAAGAATGTAAGAGCTGAGTGAAAGGCAATGGTAAAAGGAAAGCTATGGTGAGATAACCGTATTTGGAAAGTTTAAAAACACAAAAGGGCACCAAATGCTCAGGAAGGAGATCCAGGGAGAGTGGTGGCCTCTGGGATAGAGGGGAGGGGTGGGGTCGGGGGAGGGCTTTTATCCTTGTCACTTTAGTGTAAGAAAGTGAGCCCTGACTGGTGTGACTCGGGGCGTCGTGGGGTCATACCGCAGGGCCAAGGGCACGTGCCTGGGCTGTGGGGGCCGTCTGCTCTCAGGGCACATGTGAGAGGCGGCTGATTGATCTTTCTCTCCCTCTCTTTCTCCCTCTCGTCCCCTCTCTCTAAAGAGGAATAAATAAAATCTTTTTAAAAAAAGAATATTTGAAATGAGTATGATCAAATAGGAACATCTGGTGAATTTGGGTGATGGGTTCCACCTTTTTTGTGTTGGAAATATTCCATAATTAAAGAAACTGGAGCCTTAAAAGCATTCGTTCCCTCCCCCGCACCTCAGGTTTGCCATGTCCCATTACGCCTCCAAGGTTTTGTGTCTCATGTGAAACAACTGGGAGCACCTACTGTGTGCTGGCCTGGTCTAGACACAGCAGTGATGGCATAAACCATGGCCAGCACTTGTAGTTCACACACAGTTCCTTCTGCTCATCCCTCTTCTCCTCCTTGTCAACTCAGAGCAGAGTGACTTTCCGGGCAGCACAGGTGGGACTCCTTTTTCCTTTGTTTTAAAGATGTTCCTTTTCCTGAGAGGCAGGCCTGGGATTGTGTGAGTACTCACATCCCTCATCGTGCAAATCCCTTGGGTTCTCAGAGCCTCAGTTTTCTGCACACAAGATGGAGGCGGCAGCCCATCTCCCAGGGGTGTGTGGGGGTGATGGAAATGTGCGTGACGCCTGAGCATGACGCCTGGCACGGAGCGGGCGAGGACCCGGTCCCTCCTGCCCTCGCCCTGGTGGCCCTTCCCAGCAGCGCCCAACCCGTGCCTGGCCTCTCAGGACAGCACCTGTTCTCAAACTTCTCACTGTCAGGGACTTCCCTTTTTCGTATTTTCCCCATGCTTTGGAAGATTTTGATCCTAAATTGCATGTATTAAGTCATTATTAATTTATCTCCCATTTCTTATTAATCAAAGACATAGATAGCTGCCCCTCTGAGCTTCTGATCTGTACAGGCAGCTGGGAGAACATGTGGGTGCTGTAATTCCAGCCAGCGGCAAAGCCCCTCAACAGCCTGTGTGGTCCGGCGGCCCGAGGAGGGTGAATGTAGGTACAGCACACTCGTTCTCTTCTAGCCGACCGTGAGTTGTGGAGGCTGCTGGCCTTGCCCGGGTGGGCGCTGCTTTGGCAGGTGGATGAGCTGGCGGATGAGCTGGGGCTGTTTTCAGGGCCTGGCTCTAGCATGGGGCCCCACGGGGCCTGGACCCCTCACCCCATGGAGCTCGCTCTGAACAGATGATGGCTTGCACCAGCGCCACACAGAAGAGTGTGGGGTTCACAGAGTGGGAGGTGGCAAAATTGTCTGTGTGCGGGTCCCACAGGCTCTGGCCAGAGACTACTACATCCCCCTGCCCCCTGCTGCCAATGCTGGCAGAGCTTGTATGGGGTGGGATGGCACCCTGGACCAGGTCTGGGATCTGGGCACTCAGCACTGCAGCAGGTGGGCACCCCGGGCTGGATGGCAGGTTGAACTGGCCGGCAAGGAGGACAGGTGAGCCTCCGTCACTGCCTCCGCTTGGATGCAGGGGAACTTCACCTCCAGCCTAGCCAACCACAGGGGAACCCGGAAGGAGGAAAGGAAGGGAGTGATAGTGGGCGGCATTTGCAACAAGGAACATAGAGTTTGGGCCTAGTGTGTTGAACACAGAGTCCCGAGTTGGAGCACACGACTGGGACATTGGGACGAAAACAGAATGCAGAACCTGGAACACGAGAGGATGACTGTGCAGAGATTAACCTGGTTTCCTAGAAGCTCAGCCATAAGTGCCCTCAGGCTTGTGGCCCTGACTCCTCTCCCTCTCCCACTGGCCCACACCTGCTCCTGGTTGGCGCTGATGGACCACGGATGGCTCAGCAGGAGCTGCAGAGCTGCGACCAAGCTCCCGAAGACTTCCAGTCCTGTAAAAGTGAAAGTGAGCATGGAGGCAAACAACATTTACTGAGAGTCTACTGAGTGCCAGGTTTTTGTCTTCTGTGCCAGGCTGGGTTTGCCCTGCAGCTGGGAGGTGATTCAGAGAAACATGGTAAGGGGGTGGGGGAAGAAAGCCAACAAAGGGTGCGCTGAGGGGCAGGTTACGCCAGGGGGCAGCTGGAGCTCATCTGCAGGGTCCGGCCATAAGACTGCTAAATGCTCTCTAACTCCCCAACCAAGGGGTGTATTTATCCACCAACATCCATCATCCCTCAGGGGCTGGGCCTTGCTCCCTGCGCACCAGCTCTGGCATCTGTGGCCTCCCAGCGGTGGCTGCATGCCTGGCAGCCAGAGACGCCCTCAGGCAGAGAGACGCAGGAGGCCTGGTGCACGCAGAAAATTCCTGCAGGTTCCTCAGGGTGCTCTGGGCACGTCAACAGTGCCTGCTAAGTCATCTCACTTCTCATCATCTTCAGAGAGCAGTGGCCTCCCTGTTTTGTAGGCAGAGAAACAAAGGCTCAAGAGATAAAGCAGCTGGTGGGAGAAGCGGTGCTTTTGCAGAAGGGCAGGCCACCACCCGTCCACTCCTACCCCACTACCCATCGGGTGTGACATCTGACCGGAGAGTGTTGTGCTGGCACCTGCTGAATGAGTGAGTGAATGAATGAATGAATGAATGACCTGGTGGAAGGCACAGGACTGTGGGTTACCTATCGCTCTCCTGTAAAATGCAGACGGGACTTTCTTGCCTCCCAGGCTGCTTTGAGGAATACAGGCGATTGTGTAAGCGAAGTGCCCAGCATTGTGCCTGGCCCGCAGTGGGGTCTCCATGTGTGTTAATTCCCTTCCTCCTGCTCGACGCGCAGCAGGGGGTCTCTACCAAGATGTGAGCCTTCATGCCCAGCTCAGTGACCACCTTCAGGGCGCTGCCCCTGAACCTCCAGACGCGGGGCCCCAGGGAGTCCCCAGAATGTCTCTACTGGCTCCAGCCAGCCAGTCCCGAAGCCTGTCCAGGCAGCTCCCACATTGACTCAACAAAGCACAGCGATGGCTTGCCCTGCTTCTGTGCTATTCTGGAGACGAACGCACACAGTCTCTCTGGCTCATGTTTTCAGCCTCGCCTTCAAGAGCTGCACACAACTTGTAGGGACTCCTTTCTCGCCCCCCTTCGCTCCTCAGCCCACTACCATCTGGCACCACCCTCCACATGCTTTCGACAAGGTTCCTGGTGCCCAGAGATTATTTTTCTGCAGCATTCAGTGCGGTTGTCAATCCCCTCCTTTCTGGGCCTTGGTGTCCTCAACAATTGCTGCCCCACCAGATTATTCTGATGACTAAATAATGCCTTCCTTCAAGTGTTCAGCAAACATTCTGAACACCTGCTGTGTGAGTGCGGGCTTTCTGCTGGCTCCAAGCACCTGAGGTCAGAAGTGTCTAGTCGCCCGGGGCACAGACGCGGTTCTAACAAACGTGAGACAGCCTGGCCCTCCGCCTGACACCTGGTGGACACTCAGTGACGTGGGACCCTGTCTCCTTCCGGCCTTCTCCAGGTCTCAACAGAATGGGTGGGAAGAAGGGGTGGATGCGCTCTCTCAAGTCTCCTCTCACTCTGAGGGTCCAGGGCCCTGGCCTGCCTTGTCTGGTTTCTTGGCCCCTCCTCCACAGTGAGCCCGTCTCTCTCACTTTGAGCTCCCACCTGAGCCTGTGTGCAGCCGGGAGGCCCCCGGGGCTGAGCAGGGCAGGTTCCGCGTCTGGACTTTTGAAGTACGGCTGGCCCCCCTTCTTGACAGGGGACCGAAGTGCTGCTTCCCTGACTGGAATGTCAGTGGCCTGAGGGACAGTTTGGCGGGACCAGGGGTCTCAACAAAGAAGGCTGCAGGGGCCACTCCAGGCACCTACAACTTGTTACCCCAAGTCTGCTCCAAGCTCAGCCCCCTCCTCCCCCCTCGCCCCCCACGAAGGGCCTCCGCATGGGGAGCCTCAGTGCCGTGGGGAGAACACAATTTCCAGGGGTCAGATTGTGTCAAGTTTCCACTCTGCCACTACGCAGCTGTGTGACCTCAGGCAAATCACTCATTCCTCTGAACTCCAGTTTCCTCGCTTGTAAACCAGGGGTACTTCTACTCCATCTCTCAGCAGGTCTTTATCAAACACTTGATCTGCACCACGGGTTGAATCACAGTAGTGATAAAATACAGATCTTTACTCTCGGTGGTCACGTGCTGGGGGGGAGACAGACGGGAAACAGCCCGGAGTCTCCATCAGGGTAGCACTGCCCCCCGGGGCCCTTGGAATGTCGGGGGCACCAACACCTCCTCACAGAGCCGCGAGGATTAAGTGTGTACAAGTAGTGAGTATTGCCCTGGCACATAGTGGGTGTTCAATCAATGCCTGTTGATAAATGAACTAATAAAAGCAATTCTCTCTTAGCCTGATTACCAAACAGTGAAATAGAGCTGATAATCCTTACCTTGCAAAGGTGTTATGAAGATTTCTAATTTTGTTTAAATTAATGGATTTAAATTAATAAGTAGAGCTTACTAATGCCATATACTCTTTTTCTAAATCTTTCCCAAATATGAACTCATTATTCTTATTTTATAGATGGGGAAACTGAGGCACAGAGGGGGAGGTTAAGGAACTCGCTCAAGGTCATGTAGCTTGGATGTGGCAAGATATGAATGTACCTGGGAAACTGTAGGAGCTCAATAGTTGCTTTATTTTGTGGGGCAGGGAAGTCTTAGTCTTGGTATCCTGCCAGGCAGGGAGCTCTGGAAGGCCCCCTTGCAGAGCTGTTTTCGGTGCCTGAGATCTGGGTGTGAACATGTAGCTCAGGTGTGAGTGTGGTAGGAGGGGTTGGAGGGGCTGGGGACGGGAGGGCTCAGAGGGTAAGAGGAGGAACTAAAAACCCCCAGACAACAACTCCGGGACCCTACTCCTGAGATAGCCACTGCAGCAGCCTCTCCTGAGACAGGGAAGGACTCCAAGGCAACTTCCCCTTATGTAACTGGACTTCCTCTAACTGTTCCCGGAGAAGCCCTGGGTCTTCTTGCCGGCGCAGGAAACAATTACAGGTCAAAGCTTGTTGGCACAAGCAAAGTTTATTAGTGCCAAGTTCTCATGGGACAGCAGAAACAAGGGTGGCAACAGCAAGAGTGGCTAGAGGCCGGGTGGCCAA